AGTGGCCGAGACTGGGAAATGAGTCAGGATCGAGGGAAAGATGAACGGAGCAAAGTACAGAGAGATCCTTGATGAAAGCCTGCTCCAGAGCGCTCAGGACCTCAGACTGGGGCGAAGGTTCACCTTCCAACAGGACAATGACCCTAAGCACACAGCCAAGACAATGTAGGAGTGGCTTCGGGACTAGTCTCTGAATGTCCTTGAGTGGCCCATCCAGAGCCCGGACTTGAACCCGATCTCTGGAGAGACCTGAAAATAGCTGTGTAGTGACGCTCCCCATTCTACCTGACAGAGCTTGAGAGGATCTGCAGAGAAGAATGGGAGAAACTCCCCAAATACAGGTGTGCCAAGCTTGTAGCGTCATACCCAAGAAGACTCAAGGCTGTAATCGCTGCCAAAGGTGCTTCAACAAAGTACTGAGTAAAGGGTCTGAATACTTATGTAAATATGATTTACGTTTTTTTTTTTTTTATACATTCGCTAACATTTTAAAAAACCTGTTTTTGCTTTGTCATTATGGGGTAGTGTGTAGCTTGATGAGAAAAACAACAACAATTGAATCAATTTTAGAATAAGGCTGTAACCTAACAAAATTTGGAAAAAGTAAAAGGGTCTGAATAATTTCCGAATGCACTGTATATAAAGAGTATCGGTTCACTGTGAAGGATGAGAAACTCTAGTGTAATGGCTTACTTGAGAGAACCTGCTGAGGCACTCCATCTCCTGCTTCATCCTCAGTAGCTGTCCAACCACACAGAGCCTTCAACTCAGACATCAACCATGACTTCACCCCATTCTCACTGCAACAAGAGGGGAATAGCATACCAGAGATTGAAATGGAGATATCCCATTTAAACTTGTGGGAACACAATAGAAACACAATCTAAAATGCTTTTGAATCGCACTAAAGATCACAAAACACAGAATCTGATACATTGTATACCATAGTAGTAGTATATGATAAATAGAGTTTTAGCATAGTGTGTAGCTATTATCTAGGCTACTTCAGATCCCTTTCCAACGTGTACTCCAGAGTGAGGATATTCTGAGTGTGTAAGTGGTGCACCACCTCTAGCATGTGCTGTTTCTACACAAGGAACAAGGAAGTCATTGTAATGTAAACATAAAGATATAACACAGGCTCAAACTGCCAGTGCCAACACCCGAAGGTATGCCATTGGCAGTCTCAAGACAAGAGCTTCTGGTCTGTGTGCACACACTCTCCTGATCACTCCAATACTCCTGCCAGAAGAGTTTAGAGCAGAAGGCTCCAAGAGAGAGAAGCTGACAGGTTGACTGCAGCAGCACTAAGAGGTGGACCTGAACAGAAGGCACTGAACATTCATAAAGGCATTGGCTATGTAAAACCTCTCGAACTCTAGGCCTAGATGTTGGATGATGAAAAACCATAATTGAAACAAACATCGACATACACTACATGACCAAAAGTATGTGGACACCTGCTTGTCGAACATCTCATTCCAAAATCATGGGCATTAATATGGAGTTGGTCCCCCCTTTGCTGCTATAACAGCCTCCACTCTTCTGGGAAGGCTTTCCACTAGATGTTGGAACATTGCTGCGGGAACAAAAAAAAAAAAAACCTGTACTCGTAGGCTGCCACTCAAAATAAAGAAATACAGTAAGAAATACATACAGTTTAATAATAAATAATACATTCAGTATAAACAGGAAAATAAATTCCGCCAACACCACCGATCCATCATGTCTCCATCAAACACCCCCACCTAGCAAACGTTGCTTTTTTGATAGTCTTGAAAAGGGTACAAAAAAGGGTCAAATGATTTACCTTTAGTTGTTCACCATACCAGCTGGTACAATTTGACTAATATATTTGACATCTAAATTTCAGATAGTGAGAAGATTGATCATAGAACATCTGGATTGATCTATCCAATACAGAAGACATTAGTTGACCCTGTCAATTATCCCTCTTGCAATAATTGAATGTATTTTAAGAAATCTAACTAATAGCAAATTATTTGTATTAAATTAATCTTAACACAATGAACAGAGGCATTATTAATGACCATCTAAAGATCAATCTCCTCAGACAGGACATGGGACAAACAGATCAATGCATTATCAGGGTTGGCAAGGCTAACATTTCAGTCTCTGTCTATCTTGCCAATCGATCCATTGAAGGTAAATGACACCAGCTAGTCCATTAGCGCTACACTGTCACTGGGATGATGAAAGTGTCTGCAACAGCAGTAATGTGAGGTACTATAGTTTATTACTCTAAGCAGACACATTGTTTATAGTCATTGAACAGAATGTTCCTCTTTTGAGTTTATCCTGACAGCACCAATGCTGCTAGAACATCGACTTGAAGGCAATTTGAGTACAGCTATGACTATGAGCTATCCATCCATACTATTGATGGACCAGAAAAGACCAGTCCTGGTTCATAATTGTATCTGTCTCTATTTTGTGTGAGAATGGCACATATGCAAACGTTTGAATGTAAGATGAGAGAATTGTATGCCCTTCAGACTGTCTTCCTTTGTTTGTGGTTCCAGTGAATAGGCCTACTGGAGATACAGGCATACATGAATGAGAATATTTCTGAGGATTTCCTGGGAATTCCGCCCATGTTTTCCTGGCCTCCCTGTCACTGCGGCAGGAAACCTGCTCATGGAAGGTGAAAATAACTCATTAAAATGTAATCCCATCTGTGTCATGAATTTGTAAGTGTTTTTTCCTATTGTGTCACTAAACCACAGCATAGGAAGTGTAAATACTGCAGCTGCTGTGAATCACCTGTCAACCTGTAAAGTACAGTGGACACTGTTACCTTGGGGAAACAATCTGAGCTGTCGCTCAAGTGGACGTGACACTGTCCTTGCACCCACAGCAGGTACTTTCACCCGTTTCTCTAATGGAAGTGACACTTTAGGCATTTCCTCAAAGTACAATTTACAAAGAGGCACTTTGCTTAGAGTTAGTGTAAGATTTTACAAACCACACAGCTCATATGGTAACCTCATGGCTCTGTAGTGCCAAGAAGAGAAATATCATACCAGGTAAATGAGAGTATATTGTGTGTATCTGTGAAATAGTCTAGGCCCTATGTCTCCGTCTGTCTCTGTGCAGCAGAGTACGAGGTGGAATCCATGGGCTGAAATCTGAAGTTATCAAAGGTCAAATTACCATTGAGAGTGAGGCTGAGCAGCTTTCGAGCCTTTCATTGAACTTACAGACAGGGGGTGCGTGGCAGTGAGAGAGGGAAAGAGACATGCATGCATTGACAAAATTGATGACTCCCATTGGTAGTGGCTTGATTGTAACTCACCATGTGAATTTACATCATTTTCATGCAAAGTTTAAAATCCTTAAAATACCTTTGGCTAAAAATAGGTCTAACAGCAGGTATATCAATTAAATGAACGATATGTTGTGCATCTGAGCGTAATTGATCTGCAAGGCTTATGACACTGCACAGGAGGGTCCAAAACACACTGTAAGCAGAGTCATGGAAACATTTCCCATTGGCTTCAATGTGTGTTAATCCATTCGTTTTAGATTAGGGATAGTTGCAATTGGAAAACAAAACAGTTTTTACAGTGGATCAAAAGATTTTCAGTATATGGCATTTTGTAATGGAAACACAAAATGGACTTGCCACAAAAATATTCCAGGTTTTTACTATTGTTTCCCAAAATATTTCAAAATACAACTTTACCCATAAACCCGTACTTGTTTTCCAATGGAAAAGTGTCAATAATTGACAGGAATAAGGAAACGTAATGATTTTGGGGGTAGTTGAGTTATATCTCAATTTACTGTTTTAACTATCACTTCTCATTTACAGGAAAACAATCAAATACAGTGGCTTCCCACTTCGCACAGCAGTTGATGTATGCCAATATTGACAAAGCCTCTTCTTACACCAAACAATTGAGTTCAGCCCATAGACCTAAGCATACATGCTACATTCCTGAGGTCCCACTCACACGTCTTGTGCCAAAACCAAGTTCCAATGCTGTTTTCACTACAAATGCGCAGAGAAACACAGTAATGAAAATACTTAAGTGGTGTAAAAGGGAAAAACACTCTTACAAAAATGACTTTTACAAAACTTTCACTCTGCTCAGGTGTCAGTTTTGCTTTTCACATAGGCAGCTATTCTGACTGTATGCGCATATTTCAAGTCCAACACCTGCTGAAAATCATGTTAATTCCAGTCATTTAAAAAAAACATTACACCTTTAAAAAGGTAACCACATAACATGTAAAGATAGATGAATAATGAGATTATTAACACAAATGCAAATACACAATGCAAAGAGACATGCAAATGTCCTCACATTGGCACACAGTCCACAAATATTATGCACAGGCAAATATTGTTACGGAAACACCCTCAGAAACAAAAGTACTGGCTATATTGCTCAGCTGTGCTGCAGCACAATCTTTACTTTAGTATGTCTCAAGAGTTAAGATTCCTTCTTTAAATAAAGATCCTCCTTGGACAAACTCAAGGCTGCTTTTATGAATGCTTTTATTTTTTATGTCTCCTCTTTATAAAGTACATGGATTCTTAGAAAACCATCTTTGAATCCAGAACAAAAACATTTGTAGCAGTACTTTTCAAACACCATACATTTTCCATCCGACAAACAGTTCCCATTCCTTCGACACATAGACCAATTGTAAACATGATACAAATCAATAATTTCAATTACAAAAAATGTTTGATAGAAAAATATATTATCTTTTATAGGTATTTCTCTTCTTCGGCCTATTTACATGAGGTACTCTTCAGTACAAGCTCATTAAAAAATAAAAAAAATAAAAAAGGGGGTTAGCGGGAAAAGGCCTTTGGTTTCAAGAAAAAAACTAACTTAAATGTCCATTCGCTGTCCTGTGTACACAGTGTCAATGTCATTGATTGTTTTCATCTTGTTGTGTGTGATTTGTAGCCAAGTCTGTGGGACCTCCACAGGTTTGGTTTAGAACAGAAACTCTGCCTACAATCAGGTTTCAGTCCGGGTGGTGGGGGTACAGAACTTTCGATGGGCGAAGTGACCGAGGACGATGAGGAGCATCTCAGAGGTGCTGCTGAGCGCCACTATGAAGGGCGCCTGGGATGCAAAGTCAGCCTCCGCCCGTCGGAACGACAGCTGCATAACCGCCAGTGCCAGAAGGCTGTTCTGCACCCCCACCTCAATACTGACAGTCTTCCTCTGTGGCACTGCCAGTCCTGCCAGCTTCCCCATCCCAAAGCCCAGCAGCAGCCCAAACAGGGGCACGGTTACCCCCGCGACCACCATCTGAGGTCTCACGTTGGCCAGGATAGACGCCCCCATCTGGTAGGCCATGAAGATGCCGCCCACAATGAGCACAAAGCTGAAGGGCCGGATCAGTGCCAGCAGCACGCGGGTCAGTTTGGGCAGACGTAGTTTCACCAGCATGCCCAGGGAGATGGGGATGGCAATGAAGAGAAGGGTGCCCAGGATCTTGATAAAGGGCACGTGGAGGGCAGCGTGGACCCCCAGTAGCCTGCCGTACAGGGCAGAGGACAGGGGCATGGCTGCTGCAGCTACCACGGTGGACACCAGGGTCATGGAGATGGCCAGGGTGACGTCCCCGCCCAGTAGCAGGCTGTAGAGGTAACCTCCGCCGCCGCCCGGGGCAGAGCATGTGATGACCAGGCCCAGGGAGAGGGCCTTGGGCAGGGAGCCCAGCCTGGACAGGCCATAGGCGTACAGTGGCATGACCAGGAACTGCCCTGCGACCCCCAAGAGGAGGGGCACAGGCTTCCGCAGGAGACCCCTCAGCACCTCTACCTCAACCTTGCACCCGAAGGCACACTTGTTGATGAAGATGAGCGGCAGCAAGACAAATAGGACAGGGTTCTCAGAGAAGTGGGACAGCACGCCCGACTGTATGAGCTGGGCAGCTGGGTCATCACTGCTAGGCGCCACCCTGATGGAGTAGTCTGTCCTTTCTTCAATTACGACCGGGAAAGAATCCTGGTCCAACTCCAATAGCTGGATGAGCAGTTGTGCCAGACCCGGCAACCCAGACCTTATGTTGATAATGAAACTCTTCACAGGCCCCGCATGACTGTCGCTTACATTCAGGATGGAAAGAACCTCCGAGTCCAAGGAGCTTACCTTGACCGTCTGCTTCCAGCTCTCGCGGCCTTTCGTACTTGCAGCGCTTCGGTATTGACTGGAGATTACAATCACGCCCTTAGTGTTTTCGGGAAACTCAAATTCCTGGGAGGTCCCGTCCCCGATTTGTATATACCTTCTGTTGCTGTCGGCCGTCACGTTCGTGTTGTTGTTGTTGTTGTTGTCCGTCGGCTGGTCTGCTCCTCTCGTTATCAAGAAGAGACAACAGAATGCAAATAGCGTCCTCATCGTTAGAGGTGCGCCGCAAATACACGCTGCTCCCCAGCCTGCGACCTCCCCAGTCCGTCTTAAACCGCCTCCCTTTTACAAAATGCTATAGAACTTCTCAGATCCCCTGATACAATAGCTACGTAGGCAGCTGGGTCTACATTCCTTCTGGTTCCCATTTAGCTTCACCCGTGTTCTTGCTCTCTTTCTACCGGAACTTAAACATCACCCCGCCCCATCCTACACCAAAAATTAGCTGTCATATTTTCACCAATTTCAGACGATTCACGACTCATTTTTTCGTGCTGAGAATAAATATCTGCCTCGGTGAACGGTCGCCACGCATTCCGGTTTTTATTTTCTCTGCTTGTTGGCAACTGTCACCACCGCTGTTCCCCCCTGCTTCTCCTCTTCTTTCACTCACTCGCTAAGACTTATTTTAATCCAATCAGAGAAGCCCCTAGCGTTAACTCTCTATGTCCCTTACCAAAATAACCACCAACGTCACATGAGAAAAATCTAATTACGGGGGTGTTCTTTCTTCCTGTGTGGGCTGCATTCTCAGCATCATAGAGGAAACACCGTTTGATGTCTATGGGGGAGGACCCACTGCAAAATGCTGTGGTCATGTTATGTTGACCAAAGCAAAATGGTAGAATAAATTAAACATAGTCCAAAACACATAATGAATGGAAAATAAAATAAACTGCAGTTCATTATGGCTGGAGGTATTTTCCTTTATTTAGTTATTCTGCCCTTACAAAAAAAGAATGCAGTTTTGAAACTGTAGTAAAAGTGCAGTAACTGCAGTTGACTGGTATTTTGGATGCAGTAATTGCTGAATAACTGCAGTGTACTGCAGTTGCACTGCAGTTATACTGTACTCTGACTGCAATGTTTTTTGTAAGGGTGGCATCACACACAGACACACGACTTATACAATAAATAATACATTTAAGATGGGCATTGGGGCTTGTTTTCTTATACTGGACAAAAATATAAAGGCAACATGCAACAATTTCAAAGATTTTACTGAAGTACAGTTCATATGAGGAAATCAGTCAATTTAAATAAATTCATTAGGCCCTAATCTATGGATTTTACATGACTGAAAATACAGATCTGCTGGTCACAGATAACTTTTAAAAAAAGGTAGGGGTGTGGATCAGAAAATCAGTCAGTATGTGGTGTGACCACCATTTGCCTCATGCAGCGTGACACATCTCCTTCGCATAGAGTTGATCAGGCTGTTGATTGTGGCCTGTGGAATGTTGTCCCACTCCTCTTCAATGATTGTGCGAAGTTGCTGGATATCCCAAACATGCTCAATGGGTGACATGTCTGGTGAGTATGCAGTCCATGGAAGAACTGGGACATTTTCAGCTCTCCAGGGAATTGTGTGCAGATCCTTGCGACATGGAGCCGTGCAGTATCATGCTGAAACATGAGGTGATGGCAGCGGATGAATGGCATGACAATGGGCCTCAGCTTTTTGTGCTTATGGAACATTTCTGGGATCTTTATTTCAGCTCAAGAAACATGGGACCAAAACTTTACATGTTGTGTTTATATTTTTGTTCAGTGTAGTATGTGTGAGAGGGATGTTTGTCGAGGAGAAGGGTGGATTTAAGGTGTTCAAGTTAGTCTGTTCTAGTGCCAGATGTTTGATGTCTGGTGAGCTCTAGAATAACACATCCTCTGTGTGCAATATAAAATCTAGGTTGAATTTAGTAGGCATCTTGAGGTTTTGTAACCTTGATGCGTTTATGTATGGAGATTCTTATGTCTAGTCCATGAGACCAGACTGCAACGGAAGCTTGTTGAGCCACTACAGGAACAACAACATGTTATACTATCAAATTCTATTGATCTTTGCCCGGCTGTATATTTGATCACTGAGCAAAAACATAGTGACCATTAACACACACACACACACACACACACACTGCACGGTATCCAGTTCCAGGTCGCTGCCAAGTATTGTTGATGGGACTTTGTACACAACGAATGCAATTGTGAAATGTTATTGTTTTACTGCCTGAATTTAAAATGGATACATTTAGATTTTGTGGCACTGGCCTACACACAATACCACATAATATCAAAGTAGAATTATGTTTTTAGAAATGTTTACAAATTAATTAGAACTGAAAAGCTGAAATGTGTTGTGTCAATAAGAATTCAACCCCTTTGTTATGGCAAGCCTAAATAAGTTCAGTAGTAAAGATGTGCTTAACAAGTCACATAGTAAGTTGCATGGACTCACTCTGTATGCAATAATAGTGTTTAACATGATTTTACAATGACTACCTCATCTCTGTACCCCACACATACAATTATCTGTAAGGTCCCTCAGTCAAGCAATGAATTTCAAACAGATTCAACCACAAAGACCAGGGAGGTTTTCCAATGCCTCGCAAAGAAGGGCACCTATTGGTTCAGTGGGGAAAAAAGTATTTAGTCAGCCACCAATTGTGCAAGTTCTCCCACTTAAAAAGATGAGAGAGGCCTGTAATTCTCATCATAGGTACACGTCAACTATGACAGACAAAATGATTTTTTTAAAATCCAGAAAATCACATTGTAGGATTTTTAATGAATTTATTTGCAAATTATGGTGGAAAATAAGTATTTGGTCAATAACAAAAGTTTCTCAATACTTTGTTATATACCCTTTGTTACCAAAAAGTTTTATTTTGGTTTCATCTGACCATATGACATTCTCCCAATCCTCTTCTGGATCATCCAAATGCACTCTAGCAAACTTCAGACGGGCCTGGACATGTACTGGCTTAAGCAGGGGGACACGTCTGGCACTGCAGGCTTTGAGTCCCTGGCGGCGTAGTGTGTTACTGATGGTAGGCTTTGTTACTTTGGTCCCAGCTCTCTGCAGGTCATTCACTAGGTCCCTCCGTGTGGTTCTGGGATTTTTGCTCACCGTTCTTGTGATCATTTTGACCCCACGGGGTGAAATCTTGCGTGGAGCCCCAGATCGAGGAAGATTATCAGTGGTCTTGTATGTCTTCCATTTCCTAATAATTGCTCCCACAGTTGATTTCCTCAAACCAAGCTGCTTACCTATTGCAGATTCAGTCTTCCCAGCCTGGTGCAGGTCTACAATTTTGTTTCTGGTGTCCTTTGACAGCTCTTTGGTCTTGGCCATAGTGGAGTTTGGAGTGTGACTGTTTGAGGTTGTGGACAGGTGTCTTTTATACTGATAACAAGTTCAAACAGGTGCCATTAATACAGGTAACGAGTGGAGGACAGAGGAGCCTCTTAAAGAAGAAGTTACAGGTCTGTGAGAGACAGAAATCTTGCTTGTTTGTAGGTGACCAAATACTTATTTTCCACCATAATTTGCAAATAAATTCATTACAAATCCTACAATGTGACTTTCTGGAGAAAAAAATTCTCAATTTGTCTGTCATAGTTGACGTGTACCTATAATGAAAATTACAGGCCTCTCTCATCTTTTTAAGTGGGAGAACTTGCGCAATTGGTGGCTGACTAAATACTTTTTTCCCCCACTGTAGATGGATCAAAATAAATAAAAAGCAGACATCGAATTTCTCTTTGAGCATGGTGAAGTTATTAATTACACTTTACATGGTGTATCAATACACCCAGTCACTACAAAGATACAGGCATCCTTCCTAATTCAGTTGCCAGAGAGGAAGGAAACTGCACAGGGATTTCACCATGAGGCCAAAAACAGTTAAGAGTTTAATGGCTGTGATAGGAGAAAACTGAAAACAACATTGTAGTTACTCCACAATACTAACCTAAATGACAGAGTTAAAAGGAAGCCTGTACAGAATAAAAGTATTCCAAAACATGCATCCTGTTTGCCATAAGGCACTAAAGTAAAACCTCCAAAAAATGTGCCAAATAAATTAACTTAATGTCCTGAATACAAAGCGTTACGTTTGGGGCAAACACAACACATCACTGAGTACCACTCTTCATATATTCAAGCATGGTGGTGGCTGCATCATGTTATGGGTATGCTTCTCATCAGCAAGGACTAAAAATAAACAGAATAGAGCTAAGCACAGGCAAAATCCTAGAGGAAAACCTGGTTCAGTCTGTTTTCCAGACACTGGGAGACAAATTCACCTTTCAGCAGGACAATAACCTAAAACACAAGGCCAAATATACACTGGAGTTGCTTACCAAGACGACATGGAATGTTCCTGAGTGGATTCAGGCAGTAACACAACAAAATGTGGAATAAGTCAAGGGGGTATGAATACTTCCTGAAGGGACTGTACTGTAGACAGTTTAGACCCTTGTTTCAGTATGACCATGGGGACAAAGAGGTTTACTTTGAAGCTGCAGTAGGCATGTACAGTACAACAAGTCTGTCTCTTTGACTTCAACAGTTACCTACAACATGACACAGTGACCTGTTTACACCAGATGAATGCATAACACAAACAATATTTAATGAAGGCAAGCTTGTTATATAATCTGATTGGCTAATAATAAGGACCATCACGCCACACAAAAAAAAGAATGTGTGAAGCAGTACTGCAGATAAATGTTCACATCACAGATAATTTTTTAACAGCATGAACTCTTCAGAATGTGAGCTTACTTTGGCAAAATGTAAAATATGCATTTGAGGATGTGTTGAAACATCACCCACAGACTGATGGTTGAACTCATGTCATGGTTACATGGTTTCCTGATTACAAATGCTGCCTATCAGTTTGCTTGTGGTGCCATCTGCTGCTGTCATTTCCTGAGTGTTGAAATTACAAAATATTTGTATCAGATGGCTAAATCTACAAAAACACTTCAAAACTTGCATAACTGAGTATTAATAACCATTCCCATGTAAAATGAAAGAAATGAATTTATTCCCAAAATGTCTTTGCTACAGAAGACAAATCTCTGGTTTGTATGTGATGTGGACAGAAAGGGGACATCCTTGTTATATGGCAACATCATTCGAGAGCTTGGGACTGTAAGGATCTGCACTCTTAAATGTTTTGTTATTGACATAGCCTTGTTCTGTTCAATAACTATATAGCACTCTAAATACCCCAATTCATGTCGTTAAGTTAAAAATAATACAAGATACAATTTGCTAACACACTTCAAACCAATGAGGGTTCGGAACTTTAAAGCCAATTATCTCCCAAAAAAATTTTTTGCAGATAGAACCTTATAGTCCCAAAACCTCGATATTACAACCTTACATAGGATCAATCAATATATCTCTAACTAGATACATCCAGGCACTGAGGAGACCTATGCAAATACCTGCATCCCAATAAGGCATACATATTCAAAGCAAAATAACAGTCATGAATTAGCAATATATTTGAACAGAAATAATCAGGAAAACAAAAAAATATGTATGACTGAGACTTGTCCTCCCCTCTATACAGAAATAATGACATTTATTTTAAGAGTTGGGAAAAAGCAGTACAGAGTGTGTCTTAAATTTTGTTTGTTAGTGTTGTCAATACAGTGTGTCAAGAGGTGTCTGTGGTTTAGTGCTGAACAGAGTGCAAACTGGGAAACATCAGAGCACTCAAAATAAGTCCCCATTCAAGTCAATGATTTGTCCGTTCTATTCATTCTATTTTTATATTTAATCCTATCCGATAGGCGAAATCCAGATAGATAACTGTTGAAAACCTGTGCCCTGGGGTCCAAGCTTCCCTATATTACATGAATGTCTGTTTTAAAACACATTTTTCCAATATACTATTTGTACATTTTGTAAAACCCTTGTTCTCAGGAAAACCCTCCCATTCAAATATACATCAAAAAATGTGTCATGTGACAACGTACTGAAATTCACAAGTACAACTAACCAAGGGAGATATTTTTTTTCTCTGCATTGTTGTTTTACGAAGCATGTCACAAATAACACTATTTTGATTTGAGGGATCCCTGAATAAGAGAAGACAATGATTGAGAGACGGAAAGACTGATATGGGAAAGGGAAAATGAGAGGTGGAAAAAATAGATTGTTGTGCAACAGAAAAAGAGAGGGATGGACAGAGAAAGAGGGGGAAGAGATAGAGGGGGACCCATGCCTTCTCAGGTGGTATTTTCAGCACCACAGTGTGAGTGTATATATAAATAGATATGGGGATGGAAATCAATAGGCTCATTAGGTCCTCACGGTATGAACAGTTCGATAGAATCACACAGCTCTCCGCTGTTTGTTTCCAAGCAGTTGTCAAGCCTCCATTTGTCTGGCGAATAGTTGAGAGATATGTTCAGTTCCGCAAAGCAGCCAACCTGCAATGTAAATAAAAGTGTCATTGTTGATTTATATGAAAATCTTTGGTCTATGTGCATATTGATCATTAACAGTAATTGTCTTTTTTTTTTTTTTTTTTTTAAGTGTTTTACATAGTCCATGGAATATCACCATGCATAATTAAAAAGGGGATCTATCAAAGCTCCAACACATCTAGCCAGAATCTACACTACTTTACAGTCAAATAATTTCAGAATAGCTTAGGTCCGCTTGTCATCATCACATTTCCTTAATTTAGAAAACAAGCTAAATGTCCCACAGTAACCAGTGAAAGATGCATTGTTAGTGTACCTGCGGGACAACTGGTCCTCCTTCTCCTGCTGTGAGCGTGAGGAGCTCTCTCCCAGTGAGGTGGCTCCTGCAGGCAGCTGGCTGAGCTGGTCCATCACCTCCAGACCACTCTCCTCTGCTATCTGGACGATGAGGTCATCCACCTGGTCCTGGGGCGTGGTCAGTGTGGTGGCCGAGCTCATCGAATCCTCCATCACCTACAGGTGAGTGGGTTTATGTTGTTTCACCATTAATGCAATTATCCAGAAGGGTACAGTAATGTATGGTGAGATAAAGGGTTTAGTGAACTAGGATGGTTAGTTAATTAATTAGGAGGATAATGGGCGAGGAGGCCGAGTGAGCTAGAGGTCTTACGGAAGAAGGGGACACATTAACAAAAGGCTAGTGAACTAATGACTTGAAGAAATGAAATTGATTATGAGTACAACTGTTATGTATACTGAACGAAAATATAAAACACAACATGTAAAGTGTTAGTCCCATGTTTCATGAGCTGAAATAAAAGATCCCCAAAAAAATTCATATGCACAAAAAGCTTATTTTTCAAAAAGAAAAAAGGCACACATTTGTTTAAATCCCTGTTAGTGAGCATTTATCATTTGCCAAGATAATCCATCCACCTGAAAGGTGTGGCATATCAAGAAACTGATTAAACAGCATGATCATTACACAGGTGCACCTTGTGCTGGGGACAATAAAAGGCCACTCTAAAATGTGCAGTTTTGCCACACAACACAATGCCACAGATGTGTCAAGTTTTTGTGGTCCTCTGTAGCTCAGCTGGTAGAGCACGGCGCTTGTAACGCCAAGGTAGTGGGTTCGATCCCCGGGACCACCCATACACAAAAAAAATGTATGCACGCATGACTGTAAGTCGCTTTGGATAAAAGCGTCTGCTAAATGGCATATTATTATTATTATAAGTTTTGAGGGAGCGTGCAATTGCCATGCTGACTGCAGGAATGTCCACCAGAGCTGTTGCCATAGAATTTAATGTTAATTTCTCTACTATAAGCCACCTCTAACGTCGTTTTAGAGAATTTGGCAGTACGTCCAACCGGCCTCACAATCGCAGACCATGTGTAATAACGCCAGCAAGGACCTCCAGATCTGGCTTCTTCACCTGAGGGATCGTCTGAGAATGGGGAGGGGGGTTCTGTCTGGAATAAAGCCCTTCTGTGTGGAAAAACTAATTCTGATTGGCTAGGCCTGGCACCCCAGTGGGTGGACCTGGCTCCAAAGTGGGTGGGCCTATGTCCTCCCAGGCCCATCCATGGCTGCGCCCCTGCCCAGTCATGTGAAATCCATAGATTAGGGCCTAATACATTTATTTCAATTGACTGATTTGCTTCTATGAACTGTAACTCTGTAAAATCTTTGAAATTGTTGCGATTATATTTTTGTTCAGTATAGATTAGGAATATTTTCTATAAACTTGTGCCACTCACTGAGGTGTGAACATCCAGGTTCTGAACCTGCGACTCAAACTTATCCATTACAGCAGACACCTTCTGCAGGTCCATGGAACCCAGTGCCTTGTCCAGTGCCTTGGTGACCTGTGTCATATTCTTTGTGACCTAGAGATATAAAAACAGCCAGGATCAGATAAGCAGAGTGCCACATACGAAGGTAGGACAGAGAGTGCATCCCTATGAAACTAGCCAGTAGCGAGGATGGTAGAGATTGGGGGTCAAGAGAAAATATGACAATGACTAATATGATACAGACAATTGAATGATATTAACATACGATTATGATTAGGCAGAGGGAATAGACTCACCGCTTTCATAGTGACAGCAGTCTGGACCTTGGAGGCAACAGCATCAACACGAGATGCCATGCGCAGACAATTAAGGCCCTCGTTCTTCTTACGGATGGCATTCTCTGCATATACTCTGGCAACTTCCACATTCTTCTGCTGAAGAGCCTGGTGAGACGAACACACACATACTAAAAGTCAGTTCAGTTGCCTATGAAAAGAAGTTCAGGGGCTGTATTTGTAACAATCATCTTCCAGTAGGAATACTGATCTAGGATCAGGTCCCCCCCGTCCATGTAATCTTATTCATTTTGATCTAAAAGGCTAAACTGATCCTAAATCAGCAATCTCTACTCAAAGACATTTGATACATATGGCCCCTGGTCGTCTGTTTAAATCCTTATGTCAGTAATGGACTGGTGCAGCCTCAACCATGATCTTCCACTGCCACCTGCTGGTTAATGTGCTGCACACCTCTTTATTCGACCTGGCCAGTCAACTCCAACTGAACGTGTGACACGGATGCCTAATAATTATTATAAATTATTATAAATTAACTATTTAATGACACATTTCATCAATAATGTTGTTTATGCTATGGGATAGACTGACTGCTGATCCTGCCTAGTCTTTTAAGTATGAAAAAAACAAATTATGCACTCTGGATAAGAGCGTCTGCTAAATGACTAAAATGTTAAAAAGTACAGTTTGAACAATACCACAGGAGATGGCATCTTAACTGGGGTGGACGGGCTCGTGGTAAAGGCTGAAGCGGAATCAGTGGAATGGTATCAAATACATGGTTTCCATGTGTTTGATGCCATTCCATTTGCTCCGTTCCAGCCATTATTATGAGCCATCCTCCCCTCAGCAGTCTCCACTGAACAATACACTCACTAGCTCTAACAGCCACACCCTGTATACACGTAACCTAGGTCGCGTTCAGTAGGGCCCAGTGCACACCATATAGCAAAACGTTTAGCATCAGAAATCAAAAATCTGTTCAGGCAGTCCCTTCTGTTTCAAAACATTTTCTCCCTACTACACACGACCATGTTCTAGCCTACATTGTTTCTCAGAAAGCGCTCCCTTTACTCACCTTTTTAACTTTGGCTTGCTCGGATTTTGAATCCTTCTCTGCCTTTTTGGCAAGTTTTTCGAGCTGTTTTGCTGTAAACTGTAAGAGAGAAGTATATGCAGACATTTGAGATGTGTAAAAATGCTTATTAACTGTGTAAGCTCCACAAAGACAATTCCTCATTTCTTATATACCTTCAGTTGGAAGAGTGTGTCTGAAAGAAAGAATGAAAAAAAATGGATGAGAGGGGTGATACACAGATACAGCCCAGTGCATTGGGCCTGGTATACTTTGCACTAACAGTGTGCAATGACGACTATGACAGACTGAGGGTAACTAGCTAGTGATCTCTGAGACTGGGTCAAAATCACTGAATTGTATAAGTTGTCAATGCTTTCTGATAATTTTAAACTCTACAGTCCTCAAATGGCGATAACATACGTAATGCTGGCCATCTACCTACAAATAAATGAATGAAAGTGGGAAGTTAGCTAGCTATCTAGGCATCCAGACAGTTTAGCAAAATCATCTCAATAGCCATGCAGCTAACGTTACTCGTCTAAACCTTACTTCTTTGAATAGTCGTCTAGCTTCTGGTGACATCTGACATGGCAGTGAGACTTTAATAGCTAGCTATAAAACGTGTATATTTGGTAAAATCTCATAGAAACTAATATTAGTCTAGTAGCAAGCTATCATAACATTTAGCTTACCGACTGGCTGCCACACTTTGCCTTTATGCTAGTTTATGTCGGCTAGCTAGCGTTATAACGCGCGACATAGATCAAAGTAAGTTGACAATCTCGTCAAATCAAAAGTCGAAAACGACTTACCATCCATATCAGCGTGCCTTCACTAGACCTAAAACAATTTCCTTATTGTTATGATATTCTGTTATGGGATGAGTCTTTTTTCCCCCAAACGAGGTTAGCCAAAGCCACGCCCCCTTTCAACTATGGCGTATTCCAGCCTACAAACGTCCACGTCATTGGTCAAGCTCATGAGAGCGGTGATTGGATCGAGTCAGAGAGCCTCAGCCAGGCGCTTGCAGTCAAAAAGCACTAGTTACCGTTGCTAACAAAAGCATCTGAGACGAATGAACGCCAATAGCGCTACAGCAAGTGGCGATTCTAGCATGTAAATCTTGGTGGGGCAAACTAAAAAATAAAATGTTAGATGCATGACAGCAAAGCCACTACACAACAACACTAAACAATACATTAATTGCACTATAACGGTGACAAACGGTGCCCACAAACTGTTAGGGCCTACATAAAGCTGTCCCAACAGCAGAGCTTTCAACTTTATTTTCTGCACCATGGAGTGAATCCTTACCACTGCTACACCTGTCCTGGCTATCAGCTGAGCCTTGTCTGGCAGCGAAACAGTTAATTCAGCCTCATTTACTGCCTTTAAAAAAAACATAGCTGATATGGCTGACTTGCTTAAACAAATGTGGTTTCTACTGACAATTGAGATGTACAAACTATGGCATACGGGGATGAGGAGCGGATAAGAGGCAATCCGTAATTTCGATTAAGACTTTAATGAGCGAGCTAGGACCGACGTAGTCAATATAACTATTTGTTAAGCACTTTTTAAATGTACAGCGACAGAATTCTGAACATGGGCCGTTTTTATAGTATTCTCCCTGTACACCAAGTCAGAACCGTAGGATAAATAAAATGATTACATTTCTCTAAAATAGTCTATAGGCTACATGTGCACCACCAAGTCAGAACAGTAGGCTAAGTTATGAGGGGGTACGGGACCAAATTATTAGGGTGAGGCACACGGGCTACTAACATACACTTAGTATTACTTTCTTAGCTACAGTATACATATCTCCCTGGCATATTACATAATTTATGCAGCAGCATACAATACATTTTTGGATTCACCATTGTTGTGCTCACTTGAACAGCAAAGTGGCGCGGCAGTCCTTCTTGTGGACATATTTTGTCATCAAACTTTGTCATCAAAGTCTGCCATTCTCTGGATTTATGGTGCTTTCAAGACAACTGGGAACTCGGGGAAAAAAAACAAGGTCGAATCATGACGTCAGTGATCTTCAGGTCGGAGTTCTAGAAAGAGGCCCCAATTCCCGACTTGGATTTCCGAGTTGGATGACCGTTCAAAACGTATTCCCAGTCAGAGCTCTTTTTTTTTTTTTTTTTTGAGTTTCCAGTTGTCTTGAACTCACTGAAGTCTGAGATTTCCCAGTTCCGAGTTTCCAGTTGTTTTGAATGCAGCAGAAGTCATGCTGGATTGACAGCATGGCCAATGTATTCAACCTTTTCCGGCCCATGGTGTTGCGTGTGAATGTTTATCCTTTTAAGCTTGGAAAAGAGACCCTTTCAGACAGATGTTTTAAATCCTTAATCCCAGACTTGGACCACACACCCTATCCACCGAATAGCAAGCAGGGGAAACAAAATAGTGATTGCTTTGCAATGCTTGCAGTTAGCCACTGATTCCTTCCATTGTTGAATTTGCGATTTCCGACTTGTTGTGTAATGTTTATGTCCAATGAGCACCAATAAATGTTTTCTTTAATTTCTCTTCATATGACAAGGATTTAAAAGGATTTGCCAGTAGATTGTCAACGTGATTCATGATGATGACTGCTTGTCTAGCTTGCTAGCTAAGACTTTGAAAGTATGATGTTGACATGACTGCACCTGTACACAGCCCATCTGAAATTAGCCCACCCAACTACCTCATCCCCATATTGTTATTTATTTTGCTCATTTGCACCCCAATATCTCTATTTGCACATAACCTCTTGCACATCTATCATTCCAGTGTTAATACTAATTGTAATTATTTTGCACTATGGCCTATTTATTGCCTTACCTCCATAACTTGCTACATTTGCACACACTGTATATATATATTTTCTGTTGTATTTTTGACTTTATGTTTTGTTTTACCCCATATGTAACTCTGTGTTGTTGTTTTTAATCGCACTGCTTTGCTTTATCTTGGCCAGGTCGCAGTTGTAAATGAGAACTTGTTCTCAACTGGCTTACCTGGTTAAATAAAGGTTTAAAAAAAAGATAAATCAAAGCTATGGTAGATATAATGTCATTTGACGTTATTTTATCTGTGGCTAATGACCTTGAACCTTCTTGGATGGGCACTTCTAATGTAAATCTATGGCAGCACCCAAGGGGGCTTGAACTGCCAAGCTCTCCCTGTAGATTATGCAGTGACGTGGTGTCCCCGTGAGTGACAGAACACTGAGCCAATCACGGCACAACTAGAGAAGATTACCAAAGCCTACACTCTATTTCCCACTGGATGCCCCTCCACCATAGAAAGCTCTGAGCTAGGCTGAAACACCTGCATTTTGTAGCTGCCTTTACTCAAGAAAGCAATCAATAAATTTGTTTTTACATTGTTTGCAAACTGATGTGACACGAATTAATGCCAAGATAACATGCAAAACAGGCAACAAAAAAACTTTTTTATTTTTTCCCTAAACAGATGAGGCTCAAAACAGGTGAATAAAGGCTTGCCACTGATCGCATATAACTACAAGTTTGGTAAACCTTTCTACATAATATTACAGTTACACTTGTCATGTTAGGGGGCGGCAGGTAGCCTAGCGGTTAGAGCATTGGGCCAATAACCAAAAGGTTGCTAGTTCTAATCAACGAGCCGACAAAGTGAATGTGTCCTTGCTCCAGGGTAATGGCAGACCCTGGGTCAGGGAGAGTGGAGATTTAAAAAAAAAACATTTCCAATTCACACATGAATATTAGTTTACATGTGTTACATATGAAAAATACAAACACCCACCAAATTATAACAGAATGCAACGTTTAAAACAAATCATGTATAATATCAAACTTAACCAACTAACTATAATAATAACTACCTTACCTCACAGTTCCATGTTTGAGTGCAGTATCAAGGTTTGCAAGGAAGTTTTGAAGCCAGCAATGAACAGTTACCACGAACTAATTATGTTTGTACATTTCCCAACAATAACAATAATAAGCCAAATAACATCTCGTGAACAAAAATGTGGGTTCAATCGCATTTTCTCCTGTATTTTGACAGCAGTTACCTGATTTTATCTTGTCTTTTGACTGCACGCGCCTGGCTGAACTCTCCGAATCCATCCAATCACGGCTCTTATGCTGTTGACCAATGACGTGGACGTATGTAGGCTGGAATACGCCTCTAGCTGAAAACGGGCGTGGCTTTGGCTAACCTCGTTTGGGGAATAAAAGACGCGAATGGGATACTCTTCCTGTTCAGAGCAGATGACGTGAGAGAGGCTTTTCTGTTGCTGAAGCAAAAATGGAAGAGGCCATTATTGGCAGTCACATGACATGATGTTGCTTTTTTTAACCCCTTGTCATCCACTCTCCAAGGTACACGATCAACCTCCCCTTAATCTCCCCAAATCATAAGCATAAATGATGAAAAATGCATAAATGGAACAGACATTATTTAAATGTATGCTCTGTGAAGGCTCATAGAAAAGGGGCCAGAGAGAGAGAGAGAGAGAGAGAGAAAGAGAGAGAGAGAGAGAGAGAGAGAGAGAGAGAGAGAGAGAGAGAGAGAGAGAGAGACTTCCTGTCTGGGTAATTCCCCAGGCAGTGACAGACACACCAATAGACAAAGCATGGATACTTGCAGGTTGTGTTGACCAAATGTCAGATGGGGTCTGCAGTGAGCCAGCAAGCAAATGAGGGTAAGCAACCAGGCTAAAGCTCCTAATGGTAGTTATTTGTCTAGAATATTGCAAATTGCACAACCCTTAATTCATGTCTATGATAAATCTGTTGTATAAAAATAATTACATTCATTGAGAGAGAACAAACATTTTGAACATAATTGTTTACTGTCAGAGTGGCCAATAAACAGATTATAAAGTACTCTTGGGAGCAGATAGCCTACCAGTGTGAACATTTTCAATGCAAACCCATCCACCTTAAGTGTAGACAACATCTTCTTTTTGATTCACTATTTTCTTGTATGCTTTGAGAAAGACCTTTGAGTCAGAAAGCTTATGAGCACTATGAAAATACTATGAAAATATTATACAAAGTTAGACTACCATTTTGGTTGTTGCTATTCATTTTATTTTTGGGGGAAGACAAAGACATTACTATTCTATTGGTTTTCCTTAAGTTTAAAACACAAAACACACATGTTTTTTTGGGTAATGCTCAGGTAAAAAATAACTGTAGTATTTCAGGTTTACAAATATTTAAACAGTTAAAATTACAAACACATGAATGAGTAGATAGCATCTGTTGTTATGAGGTTAATCTTTATTGTTCCTTGAATGATGCTCCCTCTAACACTCTTAAGAAATTAGCACAATCCAATTTAAAGGTGCTTGCATTACACTGATCGATCCTCAAGAACAAAACAGAATGACACTATTGAGGCACGATATTCCACTGGTATTATTATAACAACCCTATACACCCTTACTCATATCTAACAACTGAAGACAACTCACTCAGATTCATCATGATTGTGAAACCTTTGAGTGATACTTGAATTGGCTACATATGATACAGGAAGTTGCTGAAATTAAAGGTATTTTAGATTTAATTGCTTCATTAAAGGTGGAATTTCTTGCCACATGTTGGTTATCTCACCTTCTGAAATACCTCTTGACATTTTGAAGAATATCACTTATAAATGTCTTAATTAGCTTTGTGAAACTAAATGATATAACAATGTTCACTTCTTCATCTTCTAGTGGTAGAGCCAAGTAAGCCAAGCCCCTCTCCAGCAGAGATTTCGGTTGGTGAAACTTCCTCCCCCTCTTCATTCATACCTCCTGCCATAATTGTCACTGCCCCATCCAAAGAGGACCTCTATGCTCAGCCACCCACCAAAAGTATAGAGGAGGCAAACAAGGAGCCACGACCTAGCAGGCAACCAATCTGTGTTGGTAGAGCGATCACTAACAAGGCATAACGATGTTGGAAAAAGTAAGGTCACATAAATACTACAGGCCTGCCACCCCCTTGAGCCAAAGATTCCCTATCCAACTGTGCTAGAGGAGTGCTAGAAGTACCAATTACAGTAATCCATTATAAGAAGTGGAAATAGATATGGACAGATTTGAGGAACAAAGTAATTTCTGGTGCTTTTTGGATGCATTACATATATTTGTTGTCATTTATCCCCAGCCTTAGAAAAAGTGGGGATATTATTGCACTATTTAATTCATATGAAGTGTGACTCAAGTGGATATGGACATATTTGTGGGAAAAGCTATTTCTAAATAGATGTAAATAAACAAGGTAATTTCAGTTCTGAGGGGAAGCGCATCTCACCGTCTTCAACCCCGGGAAAGCTTGTAGTCGTCCATTTAATAGACAAGGCATCGAGTGTGTGTTTTCCTGCCATTCATACTGTTTTGAATTTTTCTGGACGTATATTCGCTTACTGGTCACATTTTATGTAATCATATACAGCAAAGGGCGAATGAACCATAATCTTGGGCGTCCAAACAACAATGGAGACCGCTACAGATACTGACCCGGACCCCATAAAGCTGAAGTCGATCAAGAACAACAGAACGTTCACAGTACCGCAAAAACACAGGGTAAGCAACATGCAGTAGCTACTAGTTAGCTAGCTAGTGGGCATTTGATTGTTACGTGGGCAACGTACGCTTTAACAAATTACCGGCACCCTAATAGACAGCAAGGATACATCAAATGACGCCACTTCATTTAGTCGGAATGTATTTAAGACAATCTTATTAGCTGGACACAAATACGTTGATACGATTGCAAGTCGGGTGCCTTGTCTGTTTAATTTGGAACGTCACTCTCACACACACTGCCACGCAATGACGCTACCAGCCAAAAAGCTTTGTTTTGATGTCCCTTCACACCGTCAATGGAATGTCCTGACCTTAGAACTCAGTGACCCAGACAAAGCTGCCTGTGAGATCCCTCTAAATCCCAGCCAGGTTCATTTTGGCTGTATCAAACGGCATTGTGTGCTGAGAAAGTGATCTGGGGCAATTCCAAAGTAACAGTGACGCTGAAACTCAATTTTTCACTTTAAAATGTATGCCAAGCTAATACCATTGATCATAAAGTTTAAGAAACTATACACCAATATGCAGAAGTGAACATTTTACTCAAATACATTTACTTGTAACAGAATGACAGTAAAATATCCCTCAGTTGTTTATGTGACCACGTTTTCCAAAAACTGTTAAATATCTCATTCGAATTAAGATTCAAAGATGTCTGCAGAAAGAATGGAGTGTCAGCTATGATATGACACCTTGAGTTTGAAAAAAAATCTATTTTGATTATTGAACTACAGTAACTGAAGTGGCTCACCACCATTAACATAATGATGGTAACAGAGTGACATCATGGGTCCTAGATCTGTACTATACATAAATGCATAATTATGAATGTCATTCTCTTCAAGGTGATGTATCCTGAATAGGTACACAAAGGTAGAAAAATGTAATATCCTCCTTTGCATGTTTGGGTATTATTCTACACACTGGCTATTATTCGAATGAGCTCCGCCCCCAAACAAGACCAAATTTAGTTGGTCCAGACCAGACCAAATCTGTACCAATCATAGAAGTCTATGTTTCACAAATTTGGACATCACAGTAAAGCGCAGTAGAGTACAGCACAGCACAGCACAGTAGAGTAGAGTTCAGTACAGTAGAGCACAGTAGAGTATATTTAAATAGAGTACAGTAGCAAACAGTAAAGTAAAGAAAAGTAGAGTATAGTAGGCCTACAGTACAGCAGAGTACAGTACAGTAGAGCACAGTAGAGTACAGTAAGTAAATACAAATAGAGTATAGTTCAGTAGAGTATATTACATTAGTCATGTGTGCTCTACTTTACTGTAATGAACTCTACTCTACTGAACTGAACTATACTCTACTCTTCTTTATTATACTGTACTCTACTGTGCTCTACAGTTCTTTGCTGTACTGTGCGCTACTGCAACTGTGGTTTGTGACTACTATGATTTCCCATTGTGGCCAATTCAATTGCAGTCATTCTGTTACTGATATTTCAGTTACTCTGTTACCGATTTGGTAACAGAGTGACGCGTTGTAATCACTTTAATAATTTGAAGCAAAATTGTCCTCAGTAAAAAGACAAATTGGTAGGTCTACCTTTACTTGTTACTTCTGTGAACTTTCATAATCTTCCCTCCTCATGAGGGATAGAAAATATCTTAGATATGTGGGTTTTTGGTAATAGAATGGCAAGACACTAGGCAACATTTTTTCTACTTAAAGAACGCAAATTGTTTCCCCAAAACTATATATAAATGTTGATATTAGTTGGCATGGGCCTTTACTTCAACATTATTGTGTTTTGATATATTTCTAATACCTCTTAAGACTTTTTCTAGTAGATTAACACCCCTTTTCCATCTGTGTGACCAGAAACATTTTTAGGATAGAAAATGGTTGAAAAACATATCTATATACCACTGCTAGGTGATCTGAAAAGTATAGTCAATCGATCAACAATATAATAATACTCTTAGCAAAATGTTTTATCTTTAATTTACAATCTGTAGAAACTATGAGAATAGAAAGGTTCTGAACTTTTGTGAAACATCACAGCACAGTTGAAAAATATATGGCAAATATAAATCAAAACTGGATGGTCTTCAGAGATAGATGGGAGGGGTTGAGGGTAGTTGAAGGATGGGACTAAAAACAAACAAAGGATAACTAATGTAAAATATACTGTGTCCGTAAAATGTATATAGTATGTATAAGCTGGAAGTAGAAGCCTAAGTGTTGTTGTCCATTAGTTTACTCCAATTAGGGGAGGGGTGGTAGGGTTAGGGGACAATAAAATAAAAATAAAATAAAATATATATATATACAGTACCAGTCAAAGCGTTGGACACACCTAGTCATTCAAGGGTTTTTCTTTATTTTTTTACTATTTTCTACATTGTAGAATAATAATGAAGACATCAAAACTATGAAATAACACATATGGAATCATGTAGTAACCAAAAAAGTATTTTTTATTTGAGATTCTTCAAAGTAGCCACCCATTGCCTTGATGACAACTTTGTACACTCTTGGCATTCTCTCAACCAGCTTCACCTGGAATGCTTTTCCAAATGTCTTGAAGGAGTTCCCACATGTGCTGAGCACTTGTTGGCTGCTTTTCCTTCACTCTGCGGTCCGACTCATCCCAAACCATCTCAATTGGATTGAGGTCAGGTGATTGTGGAGGCCAGGTCATCTGATGCAGCACTCCATCACTCTCCTTGGTCAAATAGCCCTTACACAGCCTGGAGGTGTGTTTTTGGTCATTGTCCTGTTGAAAAACAAATGATAGTCCCCTAAGCGCAAACCAGATGGGATGGCGTATCGCTGCAGAATGCTGTGGTAGCCATGCTGGTTAAGTGTGCCTTGAATTCTAAATAAATCACAGACAGTGTCACTAGCAAAGCACCCCTACACCATCACACCTCCTCCTCCATGCTTCACAGTGGGCACCACACATGCGGAGATCATCCGTTCACCTACTCTGCATCTCACAAAGACACAGCGGTTGGAACCAAAAATCTCAAATTTCAGACCAAAGGACAGATTTCCACCGGCCTAATGTCCATTGCTTGTGTTTCTTGGCCCAAGCAAGTCTCTTCTTCTTGTTGGTGTCCTTTAGTAGTGGTTTCTTTGCAGCCATTCGACCATGAAGGCCTGATTCACGCGGTCTCCTCTGAACAGTTGATGTTGAGATGTGTCTGTTACTTGAACTCTGTGAAGCATTTATTTGGACTGCAATCTGAGGTGCAGTTAACTCTAATGAACTTATCCTCTTCAGCAGAGGTAACTCTGGGTCTTCCTTTCCTGTGGCGGTCCTCATGAGAGCCAGTTTCATCATAGCGCTTGATGGTTTTTGCGACTGCACTTGAATAAACTTTAAAAGTTCTTGAAATTCATGTCTTAAAGTAATGATGGACTGTCATTTCTCTTTGCTTATTTGAGCTGTTCTTGCCATAATATGGACTTGGTCTTTTACCAAATAGGGTTATCTTCTGCATACCACCCCTACCTTGTCAAAACACAACTGATTGTCTCAAACGCATTAAGTAGGAAAGAAATTACACAAATTAACTTTTAAGAAGGCACACCTGTTATTTGAAATGCATTCCAGGTGACTACCTCATGACACTGGTTGAGAGAATGCCAAGAGTGTGCAAAGCTGTCATCAAGGCAAAGGGTGGCTATTTGAAGAATCTCAAATAAAAAATATATTTAGATTTGTTTAACACTTTTTTGGTTACTACATGATTCCATATGTGTTATTTCATAGTTTTGATGTCTTCACTATTATTCTACAATGTAGAAAATAGTAAAAATAAAGAAAAAACCTGGAATGAGTAGGTGTGTCCAAACTTTTGACTGGTACTGTATATATATATTGTATTTATAAAAAATTTAAAAAAACATATCTATGCCTTCATTTCCCAAAAATATAAACACTTTCATTTGACACCAAATGTGATATTCTCCTATAGACTACACATGTTGGTGCTCATGGGCCCTTTACATGGAAACTACATCTGTTGAGTTGCCAAAATAATAGCTTTATAGCAAAACATTAGAAGCTGCATTGTCACACATTTCCTCACAATTTATGTGTAAAGAACAGTTGCAGACGGCATTAGCAATAATTGCAAAGGAATTGATCAATTCTTGAAAAAAGTATGTATTTCCTCTCCTTCTGTTAGCTTGGGAACTGTAGGAGTGTGAAGGAATTTGAGAAACTGAACCGAATCGGCGAGGGAACATATGGAATTGTGTGTAAGTTATCCTTGATCTGTTATCACAGGATTGGCTGTTCTTAGAAAGAGATGATAAAATGGAGTAATTCACGGTACTGTCCAGAGCAACACAGATTAGGCCTACGCATAGGCCCTATTATTTAATTACCGGTAAGAAGATTTCATACTGTACAACTGTCTGTCTGTGTAAGTGCCTGTAAGCCTAGGTTAAAACACTGTATCCTGTTCACAGACAGAGCCCGAGACACCAGGTCTGATGACATTGTAGCACTGAAGAAGGTCCGGATGGACAAGGAAAAGGATGGTAGGCTGACAGCTGGGGTCTCAGCCACTTGCCTTGCTTCAGTTGCTTTTAGCAAAGTATACAATCGTTTTGAGACATTTCCATCATATTATTAGGTTATCTTTGTTATTTATGGCCTTTTATGTTCTGTGTTTGTTTTCCTCTGTTTGACTTGTGTTGTTCTACACACAGGGATCCCTATCAGTAGTCTGAGAGAGATTACCCTGCTGCTCAAGCTCAGACACCCCAACATAGTGGAGTTGAAGGAGGTGGTGGTGGGAAGTCACCTGGAGAGGTAGGCAGCACACACTCCTTACAGCACACACACACACTCCCTCTCAATATACCTTAACTTAATTCAATAGACAATGATAACATTTTTTGAAATGATTAAGCCTAGGCCTACTCTTTCTTAACAGAAAAAAACATTTGTTCACATACTCTGATTTAATGCTTGTGTCACAGTTTACAATGTTTCATTAAGTTGTAATTACTACAGTAACTCAACATTGTTGTTGCATAGTATTTTAGTTTTGGTGTATTCAGTATTTACCTGTCCCATCTTGGTTGTCTGTATTCAGTAGCCTACTTATCAGTAATAGACCTGTGTGTGTCTCTGCTCAGTCTCTTCCTAGTGATGAGTTACTGTGAGCAGGACCTGGCCAGTCTGCTGGAAAACATGCCAACACCTTTCTCAGAGGCACAGGTACAACAGTGAAAAGTATCAAGTATTAAAGAATGTCCTCTTGTCTGGTTTCTGCTACTGTATTGATACTACACAACATTGATTATTTTAGAGAGCTGTGTGTTGAAATGTCCCTCCTTCAGGTGAAGTGTATTGCCCTGCAGCTGCTGAGAGGTCTGGATTATCTTCACCTCAACTTTATTCTGCACAGGTCAGACACGTTCACTGTCAAACTCCATATCTGCATATCTCAGACTTGTGCTGTTATTTAGGATGGAATATACTTCAGTCTGTTTTGGGATATATTTATTTGATTATAATAATGGATCTGAATTCTGTAATGAATTTGTGGTGTGTACTCTTGAGTGCAACCTTTCAATGCTTAGCGGTCATTTAGTTTGCTACTTTATTAAATGGCATGACTATGTGGCAGGGATCTGAAGGTGTCCAATCTACTGATGACAGACAAAGGCTGTGTAAAGATTGGTGAGTCATCACCATACAACTGCTGTGCTCTTGGATGATGTTTGTATGCATGTACTCCTTTCGTTGAACAACAATACCTGAATGATTTTAAATCTGCACTGTTCTTAACAAAATGCTTTAACTGTACTGTTTTTACTTCTGAATAGTGAACGTTTTACCTACTGTAACATGCATAACAATTAGCAATGTGCAGAACAATTAATTTGACATAGTTTATAACCAGTTTACAACATTATTTAACAATGCTGCTGTCAGTTATTGTGTGTAAAAGCATGCTTCTGTCAATGGTTGATTGTGCTAATGGTTCCCTCTCTATCCAGCTGACTTTGGCTTGGCACGTTGCTACGGTATCCCCTTACAGCCTATGACGCCCCGGGTGGTGACATTGTGGTGAGTCAGTCCTTCAACCTCAACTTTCTCCAAAGGCACTGATCCCTAACCCTCCCTGAGCCTCATCAGCTCCTGTTATTTCGCTCTCTCTCTCTCGCTCCAGGTACAGAGCCCCAGAGCTCCTCCTAGGGACCAAGACTCAGACCACAGCCTTAGACATGTGGTAATTTGTTTTAAGTCTCTACTTTGTCCATACACATAAGATACATAGGTCACATATGCTTTTAAACCTATTTAGAATTGTGTCACTATCACAGAGCTCCCTCTCTTCCAAACAAGCTCTAACATACAGAGAGAGTTGTCTATGTCATGTATGTACAGTACCAGTTAAAAGTTTGGACACACCTACTCATTCCAGGGTTTTTCTTTATTTTTACTATTTTCTACATAGTAGAATAATAGTGAAGACATCAAAACTATGAAATAACACATATGGAATCATGTAGTAACCAAAAAAGTGTTAAACAAATTAAAATATATTTTTTATTTGAGATTCTTCAAATAGCCACCCTTTGCCTTGATGACAGCTCTGCACACTTGGCATTCTCTCAACCAGCGTCATGAGGTAGTCACCTGGAATGCATTTCAATTAACAGGTGTGCCTTCTTGAAAGTTAATTTGTGGAATTTCTTTCCTTACATTTACATTTACATTTTAGTCATTTAGCAGACGCTCTTATCCAGAGCGACTTACAGGAGCAATTAGGGTTAAGTGCCTTCTTAATGCGTTTGAGCCTTCAGTCACCCCGCTATCATACAGAAGGCGAGGTCAGTACAGGTGCATCAAATTTGGGACCGAGAGGCTGAAAAACAGCTTCTATCTCAAGGCCATCAGACTGTTAAACAGCCATCACTAGTACAGAGAGGCTGCTGCCTACATACAGACTTGAAAATCACTGGCCACTTTAATAAATGGAACACTAGTCACTTTAATAATGCCACTTTAATAATGTTTACATATCTTGCATTACCCATCTCATATGTATATACTGTATTCTATACTATCTTAATAATGTTTACATATGTGGTCCTCTGTAGCTCAGCTGGTAGAGCACGGCGCTTGTAACGCCAAGGTAGTGGGTTCGATCCCCGGGACCACCCATACACAAAAATGTATGCACGCATGACTGTAAGTCGCTTTGGATAAAAGCGTCTGCTAAATGGCATATTATTATTATTATTACATATCTTGTATTACCCATCTCATATGTATATACTGTATTCTATACTATCTATTGCATCTTAGCATATGCCACTCTGATAATGACATTGCTCATCCATATATTTATATATTCTTATTCCATTCCTTTACTTAGATTAGTGTGTATTAGGTTTTTGTTGTGGAACTGTTAGATATTACTTGCTAGATATTGCTGCACAGTCAGAACTAGAAGCACAAGCATTTCGCTACACTCGCAATAACGTCTGCTAACCATGTGTATGTGACCAATACATTTGATTTGATTTGAGCCAATCAGTTGTGTTGTAACAGGGTAGGGGGGTATACAGAAGATAGCCCTATTTGGTAAAATACCAAGTCCATATTATGGCAAGAACAGCTCAAATAAGCAAAGAGAAATGACAGTCCATCATTACTTTAAGACATGAAGGTCAGTCAATACGGAAAATCTCAAGAACTTTGAACGTTTTTTCAAGTGCAGTCGCAAAAACCATCAGGCGCTATGATGATACTGGCTCTCATGAGGACCACGACAGAAATGGAAGACCCAGAGTTACCTCTGCTGCAGATGATATAAGTTCATTAGAGTTACCAGCCTCAGAAATTGCAGCCCAAATAAATGCTTCACAGAGTTCAAGTAACAGACACATCTCAACATCAACTGTTCAGAGGGGACTGTGTGAATCAGGCCTTCATGGTCGAATTGCTGCAAAGAAACCGCGACTAAAACACACCAATAATAAGAAGAGAACTGCTTGGGTCAAGAAACACGAGCAATGGACATTAGACCGGTGGAAATGTGTCCTTGCTCTGGAGTCCAAATTTGAGATTTTGGGTTCCAACCGCGGTGTGGGTGAACGGATGATCTCTGCATGTGTATTTCCCACCTTAAAGCATGGAGGAGGAGGTGTTATGGTGTGGGGGTTCTTTGCTGGTGACACTGTCTGTGATTTATTTAGAATTCAAGGCACTATTAACCAGCATGACTACCACGGCATTCTACAGCGATACGCCATCCCATCTGGTTTGGGCTTAATGGGACTATCATTTGTTTTTCAACATGACAATGACCCAACACACCTCCAGGCTGTGTAAGGGCTATTTTTCCAAGAAGGAGAGTGATGGAGTGCTGCATCAGATGACCTGGCCTCCACAATCCTCCGACCTCAACCCAATTGAGATAGTTTGGGATGAGTCGGACCGCAGAGTGAAGGAAAAGCATCCAATAAGTGCTCAGCATATGTGGGAACTCCTTCAAGACTATTGGAAAAGTATTTAAGGTGAAGCTGGTTGAGAGAATGCCAAGAGTGTGCAAAGCTGTCATCAAGGCAAAGGGTGGCTATTTGAAGATTCTCAAATATAAAATATACTTTGATTTGTTTAACACTTTTTTGGTTACTACATGATTCCATATGTGTTATTTCATAGTTTTGATGTCTTGACTATTATTCTACAATGTAAAAATAAAGAAAAACCCTTGAATGAGTAGATGTGTCCAAACTTTTGACTGGTAGTGTAGTTGTCCCCTTTCAGTTACGGAACTTGACTCTGTTCTAAATAGGATCCTCTCTGTTCTAGCAGAGAATCTCCCCTCCCATCCATACATCAACCCTCCAGAGAGTATTTTCATGGAATAGTCACCAATGTTTATTACCATACCATCTGTATAACCGTACTGGTATCTCATATTTCTCCAGGGCGGTGGGCTGCATCCTGGCCGAGCTGCTTGCGCATAAACCTCTGCTGCCAGGGGGTTCTGAGATCCAACAGGTGGACCTCATAGTGCAACTGCTGGGTACCCCTAATGAAAACATCTGGCCGGTAATGTCTCTCTCCTAGTGCTGAGCGATTAACCAAAATGTTTTTGTTTTTTACAAATTGACCTACATCGGTTCAATTATATGAATTCCATTTAATTCAGGGTTTTCTGTGAGCTCAATGCGCACATTGCGCTGCAGTTTCTCTAGAGATAAATCAGATCATGCCCAAACTGTGTGACGTAGTAGGGAGTTGTAGTTTCCAACAGGCCAATGTTCTACATAGTTTAGCACAGAAAACTTGATAATTAACTACAATGACCATAATCCATTGCGCGGCTACTTGTCCAGTCTGTGTTTCTTTTATGCCTGCTACATAAGAGACAGAAGAATGCACAATCAAGAAGGGATACATAGAGAGCAGTTGCTTCGCGAGGTATTGCCTTATTTACTTTGAAGAACTACTAAAATAGTGATTTTGTCAGACTGCATAGGCAACAGATCTATAGAGAGGAGATGATGACTTGGAATGAAATAATAAAGTCATCAAATAAAACAAATGTAATATACACAACAACTGAAATATTTGATTAAAGTAATGTGAATTATTGATGGTTAATAAATGATAAGTAGTCGTGGGCAGTCACTACCATCATGGGACTTTTATTAATTGTTTTATTCTGTGTTGTTACAGCATTCAACACACATAATGCATAGTGAATTTAATGTAATAAAAATTAAATTGAAAATGGTGATAATCTAACCAAAACCGACCTCAAAAATCACCAATCGCTCAGTACTACTCTCTCCTAAAGAATCACAGAATTTAGGATTTTACCATTCCAAAAGTTTAATTTTGGAGTCACTTAATATTAATACATTTTACACTATGCAACAACCAATGATAGTAGTTTCTCCTCAAAAAAGAATATTGTCGGTTAACGCCTGTCTGTTGTGTTTTTAATTTTGCAGGGCTTCACTCGTCTTCCCCTAGTTGGACAGTACAGTTTGAGGAAACAACCATACAACAATCTGAAGAATAAGTTCACCTGGTTGTCTGATGCAGGGCTGCGCTTACTCAACCTACTCTTCATGTACAATCCTCTACGCAGGTAACTACCAAAGAACAAACCTGCACAGCATTATACATACATGAAGAGACCCGCATACAGTTCTACACATTCTGTCATTCACATATTTACACACTCCTTCAATATGGTATACACAGAAACCTTAAATTAAGACATGTACAGTATACTTCCTTTCACTCCTGCATGGCTCACAAGTGTTTCTTGTCTCTGTTAGGGCCACAGCTAAGGACTGCTTGGAGAGTTCCTACTTTAAGGAGAAACCTTTGCGTAAGTGTGGCCTCAGGGTTATATGACAGAAGGGATTGGAACAGTTTTTGTGGAATGAAATAAGTGATTAACGTCTGTCTTTTTCACTTTTTAGCTTGTGAGGCTGACCTGATGCCAACCTTCCCTCATCATCGCAATAAAAGGGCAGCCCCAGCTGTAGAGAGCCAATCAAAACGCAATAAAGTGTAACTTCATTAACATCCTTGATCGCAGTTTCAATGAATGAATGACAATCTTACAGATATATGGACGTTTACTACTACACATAGATTATGTACCTGGTTGTAAAAAAAACGTGTTAGTTGTCATAGAATGCATGTACCTAGCAGTAATTATCCAAATGGATGGGGTGCTGGTAAGCTTTCAAGTATTCCACAGTTCAGCCTTCAGTTACTGCTTGCAAAATCCTATTTCTTTCACTGTGTGTCTGATGAATATCCATAAGTATGTGATTAACATGCATAAGTTCAATTGAATTCACCAATGTTGCTTTGTTTTTTGAATGGATGTTGGTTAACCTTTGACAGTGAGGTTCAAGGAACCAAGAGGATTTGGTTTGCTGTATTCATGTACATAGACATTTTATCTCTTGAAATTCCTTGAATATTGTAGTTTAGTTTTAATAAACTGCTTTTTCAAATTAATGTGTGTGGAAAGTTTAGCTACATCATTTGGAAAGGCAGCACATGTATATTTAAATTACCTGATTCGAAACTTGTGGACAAAAATATGGGTAGAAATAAATAAAGGTTGTAGTCTTTATTAGCCAGTGAAATGCTATATAATAACAGGGATAATGTAAAGTTGAAATATAATCATCACAAATCTTATTATTTTTAAATTCAGGTTTTATTAAGTCAGGGTAACTTGGTTATCATGGATATGTGTAACAGCAGTGAGATCCCCTCTGGGACCAGAACTGACTTCAGTATTACTGAACCGATACCCCCAACTATACAGAGACACAGCAATACTATTATGACATGTTGGAACAATGTGATCATGTCTGTCATGGAACTATTATTTTCAATGCTCAAATCCAGAAATAGAAAAGGGCTCTTGTCCCCATCTTCAGTCACATAACATGTCAACAGAGAAATACTGAAATCTAAACACCTCTCCCACTCAATGATGAGATAAAATAAATAATCATAAATAGTGTACGTAACACTGCCTGTAACATAGGGGCAGCTCTAGTGGGGACTGGGAGAGGTGGCAACACTGGAGCAGCTATGGTCAGTCAAAAGCAAAGTAAACAGAGCGATCATACACAAGACATACATTAAGGCTGCGTTTAGACAGGCAGCCCAATTCTGATATTTTTTCCACTAATTGGTCTTTTGACCAATCACATCAGATATTTTTCAGAGCTGATCTGATTGGTCAAAAGATCAGCCTATGACTTACACATTGAATAAAACATGTATGCACTTACACACATGCGAGACAAGAGCTATGTTACATGTAATTGTTCAAAGCTCTTCACCCCTCCTTCATAATGATTAACAACTTTAAAAAGTGCAGGATGGCAAAGAAAAATATAGTCTCAGTCTTCAGGACTGCAATAGTGTATGATCGGAGGGAAATAATATTTATGAGGTTAAAATGCTCCATCATTCTTGCCAATGCAGGTTAGTCGAACAAGTCCAAGTTTGTAGTGTGGTAGTACTGCAGCTATTACTTGACAGGAGGTTGTATGAATGGGGCTTGAGAGGAGAGACAGGGTAAGGAGTAGTGAAGCCCCTGGCTGACCAGGACCTCTCAGCCCTCCTGTCCAAAGTCCTCTGTGAACTTCCTGACCTTGAACAAGTCCTCAGTGTTGACTGTGGGACGCGTGGTGGACAGGGACCGCAGCATGTCAGACTGGAGGGCAGAGGACAAACCATTAGCACTGTTCAGTATTTGTACAAATATGAGTGTGTAATGCCTGAATGTGTATGTTGAAAAACAGCATGTACACTACCGTTCAAAAGTTTGGGGTCACTTAGAAATGTCCTTGTTTTCGAAAGAAAAGCAATTTTTTTGTCCATTAAAATATCAAATTGATCAGAAATACAGTGTAGACATTGTTAATGTTGTAAATGGCTATTGTAGCTGGAAACGGCTGATTTTAATGGAATATCTACATAGGCGTACAGAGGCCAATTATCAGCAACCATCAGTCCTGTGTTCCAATGGCACGTTGTGTTTGCTAATCCAAGTTTATCATTTTAAAAGGCTAATTGATCATTAGAAAACCCTTTTGCAATTCACAGCTGAAAACTGTTGTGCTGATTAATGAAGCAATAAAACTGGCCTTCTTGAGACTAGTTGAGTATCTGGAGCATCAGAAATTATGGGTTCGATTATAGGATCAAAATGGCCAGAAACAAAGAACTTTCTTCTGAAACTCGTCAGTCTATTCTTGTTCTGAGAAATTAAGGCTATTCTCCATGCGAGAAATTGCCAAGAAACTGAAGATCTCGTACAACGCTGTGTACTACTCCCTTCACAGAACTAGCAGCTTCATTAAATAGTACCCGCAAAACACCAGTCTCAACGTCAACAGTGAAGAGGCGACTCCGGGATGCTGACCTAGGCAGAGTTGCAAAGAAAAAGGCATATCTCAGACTGGCCAATAAAAAGAAAAGATTAAGATGGGCAAAAGAACACAGACACTGGACTTTTTCTTTGCAACTCTGCCTAGGTCAGCATCCCAGAGTCGCCTCTTCACTGTTGACGTTGAGACTGGTGTTTTGCGGGTACTATTTAATGAAGCTGCTAGTTGAGGACCTGTGAGGCGTCCGGTTCTCAAACTAGACACTAATGTATTTGTCCTCTTGCTCAGTTGTGCACCGGGGCCTCCCTACTCCTCTTTCTATTCTGGTTTGAGCCAGTTTGCGCTGTTCTGTGAAGGGAGTAGTACACAGCGTTGTACGAGATCTTCAGTTTCTTGGCAATTTCTTGCATGGAATAGCCTTAATTTCTCAGAACAAGAATAGACTGACGAGTTTCAGAAGAAAGTTATTTGTTTCTGGCCATTTTGATCCTGTAATCGAACCCACAATTTCTGATGCTCCAGATACTCAACTAGTCTCAAGAAGGCCAGTTTTATTGCTTCTTTAATCAGCACAACAGTTTTCAGCTGTGCTAACATATAATTGCAAAAGGGTTTTCTAATGATCAATTAGCCTTTTAAAATGATAAACTTGGATTAGCAAACACAACGTGCCATTGGAACACAGGACTGATGGTTGCTGATAATTGGCCTCTGTACGCCTATGTAGATATTCCATAAAATAATCAGACGTTTCCAGCTACAATAGCCATTTACAACATTAACAATGTCTACACTGTATTTCTGATCAATTTGATGTTATTTTAATGGACAAAATATTTGCTTTTCTTTCGAAAACAAGGACATTTCTAAGTGACCCCAAACTTTTGAACGGTAGTGTATGTGTGAGTGAGCATTGTGAGTGTCAGTGTTGTGGATGTGTGTTTCTCACCATGCAGACGATGGGCTCCAGCAGCTTGTCGCTAGGCACATCCATCCAGGTTAATTCTATGGCAGCTGGGTCCCCAGGTGAACACGGGGTCAGAAGGTCATCCACCATCAATTGACTGTTGGCACGGGATGGCCCTCGCACCTTGAGTACCATAACAAACAAACAAACTATCTTAAATCTCCTCAGTAGTAGAGAAAGAGATACACCTTTAGTGTGTTGTACAAGAGTCAACTGCAAAAGAGTTCCTACATCATGGGCAATGTTCCCTCTAAGCTGCGCGCGGATACGCAGTAGCCCAAGACTGCCACGCAGAGCGCAGAAGAAATATCAGCCCATTGAGAGAAGCATGAGATTGAACTTCACTCAACTTTCTAGAGTTTTCCCTGTTAGTTACCACTATCAACGTTTCCCTTTACTGTGGGAATTGTGATCGAATCAACGCAATATTAGCCACTTTCAATGCAACATACCGAAACAAACTATGCAAGAGATTTTGTTGTAGGATTCTGTTGTGCACGACACATACTCTACACAGACTGTGTAGCCAATCAGAGTTGCAGTAGGCCTATATGCAAATAGACCATTGTCATATATGGATATGTGGTTTTACTTTAAACTGGACTGTGTTTACAGTTGTGGTCGTGAGTAGATGCGCTTGTTTTGAGATCAAAGTGAGAGCTGCATGTAGCCACGTGTGCACATTTTGTTCATATCCTTTGCTAGTTAGTGAGTTATTAGTCCAGTTATAGATCATTTGTAGTCAGTAATAGGCAAGTGATTGCTTCCTACAAGAGCACAAACGTATACATTTCTAGACATCTTTGAAAAGCTAGTCAGGTAAAGAGCTTTTCTTTTTGTCTTAAAGGGGCAGTGCTGTATTTTGAGTCAGGCTTGAATAAGCAAAGTAGCCAATAGGAAGAGGGTGGCATAATTTGTCTGATTCTCTATAATAATGGTATGGGAATAATAATGCATTTTATTTTGTCAAGTGGTAGCTTGCATCAAACAATAACATTTTCAGTCACCTCCTTGTCTGAAGGACAAGTGGATAAACAGGTTAATGTCAAACCCTGCATGTTTTTTTTCTCCAAAAGTCTCAATGAATGTAGGCCTACATTGAACACCACACATTGGCTGCTACTGTAGGTTGGATGATAGAACAGCTATTATGGGACGAATTTACTCCATTGTTTTTGATGGTAGGCCACTCTGCTAGGCCTACATTATGATCAAATAGCCACAGTAGCCTACTTCGCCACTCTTAAAACTGTAACTTAAAGCAGGTACAGCCTCAATGTTCATAGTAAACGCGCGCTGGAAGTTGCACAGAATTTTCACAAAGTTCAAGTTTGCACACAGCAGACCTGAAATTTGCTCAGTGCGGCCATTTTGTTGAGGGAACATTGATCATGGGTATAAATTACCTTTTTGAAGTGTGTGGCTGACTGCACTTTCCTGACAGGCTGCATGAGGGCATCTCGTACGATGACGCTGATGTCAGCCCCGGAGTAGCCTTCTGTCTTTTTGGCAAGCTGACGCAGGTCTGCGTCACTCAGGCTGTGGGGTGTGTTGCCCAGGTGCAGCCGGAACATCTGGGACCTGGCGGGCTCCTCTGGGAGAGGGATGTAGATACGCTTCTCAAACCTGAAGGTGACATAATTCTGATGAGAATGCTTGATGATGACTATTGTATCCATTAGGAAATTATTTTTGCTTGAACAATACAACACAAAACATTTCCCATTTTGGGTGTTTATCTACTGTTGTACAAACAATTCAAGAAAAATCCAGGGCTGGTCTTCCACTCAATGGAATCTACATTAATAGGTACAGACAGTTTAATCAAATATTCAGTCTTTATCATTACTTTTGTGAATCTGTTAAAACAACAAACATACTGTATGACCCATCCCAACTTGTCCCTTTATTGACTACTGACCTTCTCCGGATGGCAGCATCCAGAACCCAGGGAATGTTAGTGGCCCCAAGGGTGAGGATTCCATCGTTGTTGTTGCCCACACCTGTCAATCAGAGAGGAGGAATGAAGACTATGTAAGCCTGTTGCTTATATAGAACATGTTACGCATTGAATCGGAAAGGTCAAGTCAACTGATGCAGTAGACTTAAGTTAAGTCCTCTTTGATGGGGTGTTTGTTTGATCTGAAGTGTAAAAGGTGTCTTGGCAGAAAGTGGGGAGTGGGTGTAGACTGTAGACTAAATTCTCACCTTGCATCTGTACCAGGAACTCGGTCTTAATCCGCCGGGCTGCCTCACTCTCATTCTCATTCCTGGAGCCACAGAGCGAGTCCACCTCGTCAATAAAGATGATGGAGGGCTTGTGCTGGCGGGCAAGATCAAACAGGTTCTTCACCAGTCTGACGGATGGAGAGAGAAAGATAGGCACAAACATTCAACAGGATACATAAGTATCAGTGACAAAAATTTTTTTGTCCAATCAGGTGTGGATGCATAATTGAGATTTACACAAACAGTAGAATTACAAATTAGAAATTATGTCTCACTTCTCACTCTCTCCAAGCCACTTGGACATGAGGTCTGATGATGACACAGAGAAGAAGGTGGAGTTGTTGGCTTCTGTGGCTACTGCTTTGGCCAGGTAAGACTTTCCTGTCCCAGGTGGTCCAAAGAGAAGAATCCCTCTCCATGGAGTGCGTTTGCCTGCAACCAGAGACACATTGAAGCATAATGAACAAATAGACAGAAAACACATACAGTATTATATCATTATGGCGACACGTCCATGCAGAAGATAGCGAGAGAGTATACAGTGCCTTCAGAAAGTATTCAGACCCCTTGACTTTTTCCACATTTTGTTACAGCTTTATTCAAAAATTTATTTAAAAAAAATTCCCCCTCAATCTACACACAATACCCAATAATGACAAAGCAAAAACAGTTTGAAATTTTTGCTAATTTATTAAACATAAAAAAACGGAAATATAACATTTACATAAGTATTCAGACCCTTTACTCAGTACTTTATTGAAGCACCTTTGGCAGCGATTACAGCATCGAGCCTTCTTGGGTATGACGCTACAAGTTTGGCACACCTGTATTTGGAGAGTTTCTCCCATTCATCTCTGCAGATCCTCTCAAGCTCTGTCGGGTTGGATGGGGAGCGTTGCTGCACAGCTATTTTCAGGTCTCTCCAGAGATGTTCAATCAGGTTCAAGTCCGGGCTCTGGCTGGGCCACTCAGTGACATTCAGAGACTTGTCCCGAAGCCACTCCTGCGTTGTCTTTGCTGTGTGCTTAGGGTCGTTGTCCTGTTGGACGGTGAACCTTCACCCCAGTCTGAGGTCCTGAGCTCTCTGGAGCAGGTTTTCATCAAGGGTCTCTCTGTACTTTGCTCCGTTCATCTTTCCCTCGATCCTGACTAGTCTCCCAATCCCTGCCGCTGAAAAACATCCCCACAGCATGATGCTGCCACCACCATGCTTCACCGTAGGGATGGTGCCAGGTTTCCTCCAGATGTGAAGCTTGGCATTCAGGCCAAAGAGATCAATCTTGGTTTCATCAGACCAGAGAATCTTGTTTCTCATGGTCTGAGAGTCTTTAGGTGCCTTTTGGCAAACGCCAAGCGGACTGTCATGTGCCTTTTACTGAAGAGTGGCTTCCGTCTGGCCACTCTACCATAAAGGCCTGATTGGTGGAGTGCTGCAGAGATAGTTGTCCTTCTAGAAGGTTCTCCCATCTTGACAGAGGAACTCTAGAGCTCTGTCAGAGTGACAATCGGGTTCTTGGTCACCTACCTGACCAAGGCCATTCTCACCCGATTGACCAGTTTGGCCGGGCGACCAGCTCTAGGACGAGTCTTGGTGGTTCCCAACTTCTTCCATTTAAGAATGATGGAGGCCACTGTGTCCTTGGGGACCTTCAATGCTGCAGACATTTTTTGGTACCCTTCCCCAGATCTGTGCCTCGACACAATCCTGTCTCCCTCGACCTCATGGCTTGGTTTTTGCTCTGACATGCACTGTCAACCGTGGGACCTTATATAGACAGGTGTGTGCCTTTCCAAATCATGTCCAATCAATTGTATTTACCACAGGTGGACTCCAATCAAGTTGTAGAAACATCTCAAGGTTGATCAATGGAAACAGGATGCACCTGAGCTCAATTTCGAGTCTCAGAGCAAAGATTCTGAATACTTATGTAAATAAGGTATTTCTGTTTTTAATTTTTAATACATTTGCAAACATTTCAAAAAAACTGTTTTCGCTTTGTCATTATGGGGTATTGTGTGTAGATTGCTGAGATTTTTTTTTATTCAATCCATTTTAGAAAGCGGCTGTAACGTAACAAAATGTGGAAAAAGTCAAGGGGTCTGAATACTTTCCGAAGGCACTGTATATGTGAGAAATAAAAGGCAGACTAACCTGTGAAGAGGTGAGGGAATTTAATTGGCAGGATTACAGCTTCCTTCAGGGCCTCCTTAGCTCCCTCCAGTCCAGCTACATCGTTCCACCTGACATTGGGCTTTTCCATTACAATGGCACCTGTACCAGGACATGGATCAGTTTAGCATCCAAGTTAATTTCCTTCATGAACATGACACACAGTTTAGACAGCTGGTGTGTGAAAGAGGAGACACACTCACCCATCAGTTGCTCCTGCAGTTTCTTTCTCTCTGGGTTTTCACCCTCACTGTCACTGTCACTCCTAGAAGGAATGTGTACATGTGAAACAAACTATTTGGTGCCGGTGACTATGTGGCCCTTGTTATTGTCTGCAATGCATGCATACACAGTGTTTGTTGTCTGTTTAGCAAAGTGTTATTTCCTAGGTATGCTTGTGTTAATGTAGGCCAGTGTCTGTGTGAACAGATGTGTGACGTCAACGTACTTATCATTACTCTGTGCTTCCTTGACAGGCTTCTTCCCTGCTTTTTCTTTGTTTTTCAAGAAATCTTTGAGTTTCTCGGCCCGGTCTAGGTACTGCATACACTTCCCACGTATGCTCTCCTTTGCCTTGTCACTGTGGGCCTCATCTGGAAGAAGAGATCAAAATACATTACTTTTTGCCTCCATAAACAACAACCTTATTTCCACTCTGCATACTTAAACAAATTGGACTGGGCCAGGAAAATATTAAATTTCACTCTCACACTTGATAGCATGCAGGAAGTACTCCACTGCATGCTGGTAAAGGCGCAAGGCCTCCTCATAGTTCTTGTTCTTGTCCTCCTCTGTGGCTTTGGTCACAAGATCAATCGCTTTCTGTGTGAGGGAAGAGAGGAAGGGATGAACGATAAAAAAATAGGGGAGTCCAGGTTCAGACCATGGATCAAACCAAACAAATAAACTGTAGATTTACCTTTAAGGTTGGAATCCATATACTGTAACAGATTATAGCTGACATTTACAGACTTACTAATAACTACTAATACTAACTAGACTTGACCAGCAAACTATTTTGTTTGCAAGACATTCCATTACAAGATAGATACATGGCCTCGTAACAGTTATTTGTGCCAATGTTCAAACAAACAACAGTGGAAAATGTGGTGTTATTGTTGTAGCTACAGTATTCAGTTCAATAAAAAGTTGACTGGTAACTATTAAACAGAATGTATAATAGTGTAGCTCGTAAACTAATGGTGATAACGTCAGATAGATTTTGTTGACACAAGTTAGCAAGCTACGTTAGCTAGTTAACGTTAGCTAGCTAGCTAATGTTTTTCTACCTGTAATGTTGACGTTGTCATTTCATCTCACTCTTCTACTCTTCGCCCAGCGTCTCTGATGCTAATTCAAGGTATCTTTCAAAATATGTTTGCTATATTTTCAGGAGAGAGGTTGCTGCAATAATCATGACAAAGGTAGCTTCGCTAGCCTATTTGACAGCGGGGATTCGACAGCCACGGCCCAGGCAACAGCAACAACCGTAGCTAGTGGTAACTACAGACAATCATGCAGCGTCTGCGTCACTCCTGAAAGAGAAGAAAAACAGAGGTGCTGCTGCGTAGCGGACAGGATGATGACTGAGTCAGATGTTATTTTTTTAGGAGAGGAGTGGCACCGTATTGCGAAATCTATATATTTTTAGTTTGGCTTTTCTGAACCAGCTTTCTTTCCACTGCAATGACAGACAACAAAACCATTTGTTACAGTTGGACATTAACATGTTTTATTCTTATAGATATTTACATTTTAGATTATTACATTATTATCATACATTGCATATATCTTAATGCAGGCTTGGAAGTCTAAAATACTTTGCATATAACAGGTTTGCAGCAGCAGTGTTTCTCCTATGCTTTCTCTGCTAAATGATTGTGTGGAACGCAAGCTGCCACATGTAACTTTGGTTAAATAACCCTTTCTCCAAAAAAAGAAGCGTTGCTATAACAGTATACAGCTCAAAACTAACAACCAAAAGGAAAACAAAGATATGACAGTTTGTCAAACTGTGAAATGCGAATTAAGATACATTCATGGGTAAACTAAGGTGGCTATCAAGCTTGAAACGGAACAGTTCAGGTCTGTATTGATAGAAATGTCCATTATTAGAAGTAGGCCTACAGAGACTGAATTGGGATAGAGTTCAGTCATACAGTTGGCAGCATCGACTAGGCCCCACTTACAGTATCCGCTTACATACTGAGACAAGCTGTTAGGATGATCACGTGGTAGAGCAGGGTCTGAAAAAGAGCTTTAACATATGTAGGACACAGAGACAGAGGTCACATACAGCAAGATGATAAAACAAAATAAAAGAATAGCATCCTATTTGTGCTAGTAAAAGCATCCAACGCTTCCTTTCACTAAATGGACATGATGAGGTACCATATTGCAGCTGAAATTGTGTTTTCTCAGATATCATAGTGCTGAATGAACATCTTTGAACGTTCTTTATAGGTATATCGCTTATTTTAATTACGTACTGGGTGGAAACATTCCCCAGAACACTTAGCAGACAGCTTGTAGCTCAGTGACTTTACTGTGGATGCCTATTGACAGTAAATATCATGTTTGCATTGTGTGTATACAAAACTTCCTCAGGAAACACAGAAAAAGATGAGGTCAGAAAAAGGCAGAGAAGCTTAGGTATGACCTCATGAGCTTTAATAGAAAGCATTGGCTTAGAGCCAATGCAGAAGGGAATGATAAAGGGAAGTGGTGTTCTCAGGCAGCATGGGACAATGGTTTGGCAGTGTGACTAGCCTACTGGAGAGCAGGTTGACTTTGAGGCAGATGACAGGGGTCACTGGTGTTACACCATGGTTTTGTAAATGCTCAAAAATAGCATCACATTTTCATAGTCAAGTAATGCTAAACATAGGATATACATACAAAATAATTAACTGAAAAACAGTACAGAAATAGCATGTTAACAATATAAGAATAATACTACTTGTTGTTGAAAGCTTACTTTGCTTTAAACCTATTACCTTTTGAAAATACAAAATACTTCTACACACACTAAAAATAACATTTAACAAGGCACAGTTGGCAATCCTGATTATAACAGTCATTTTGGATAATGTGCTAGATAATCAGTTTTCGAGTAACAGGCACTCTATAAAGCCAACAGAAATGCAAAAGTATAAACCCATTCATTCTGGCAGTATGCTCTAGGCCACTCACACTCAGTTATCAACTTGGAAACCCAATTGCATGTACACATGCTCATATGAACAAACACATACTCTGTTCATCACAAAATCACTCATTCGCCTGACAAGAACAGAGTACATGCATAAAAATAGCCAAAAGTATATTGGAAGGCTGTGATGAATGATGCATAGTAAAAATATGAATATTTATGGGTATGTTCCCGACTCCAGCCTCTTCCCACTTCACGTCAGCAGGCCCAGACGAGTCAGTTTGGCAGACAGGAAGGAATGAAGAACAAACACCATGGGCTTGGGGCCAGAGTGCAGGTCAAACACCTGAAAGAATGAGACAAGATAAAACATACAAACAGTACATGAATCAATACATTCAATGGACTTTTAGACCATTGCACTCTAACAGTGATGTAGCTTACCATTTCGCCCTCTGGACCTCCAAAGTCCAGGTAGAGGTTGCGGATCCCGTCGTCTGCAGACATCTTGAGCTTCTCGAAGGGGTATCTGTAGAGCACAGCACCCCCTGCAGACTCCCCTGGCTCCCGGGTCACAGTGAAGCCCTTCTCATAGTGCAGTATGAGGCGAACGTCCTGCCTGTTCAGCATGCAACCTGAGAGACAGAGGGAGGGAAGTGTGAGAACAGTACTGCACAAAGTAAACGTGTGTGTGTGTGTGTGTGTGTGTAATTGGAACAGTATGTATGTGCCTGTGTGAAAAAGTTTATGAATATGTTTGTGTTGCAGTGGAATAGGGAAGGAAAAGACTGAACATTTCCAGCACATACTAGCAGCCAACTATTGTTCTCTATTGAGTGGAAACATTCCCCCAACTGACTAAGCTTCTTCCTTTACAACTTTTTTTTCCCCACTGGTGTTTTTGGTACATTCACTTTTTTCTGTCGCTACTTCCTGTATCACAGTGAGAAGTGAATCATGTGATTCCAAAGCTTCACTCAATAATATATGCAGATAGTTAGACAAACCAATGTTAGAAATGCAGACACACATACACTTACCATCATTAGACATACAGACACACATCCACTCACCAATGTTAGATATACAGACACACATCCACTCACCAATGTTAGACATACAGACACACATCCACTCACCAATGTTAGAAATGCAGACACACATACACTTACCATCATTAGACATACAGACACACATCCACTCACCAATGTTAGACATACAGACACACATCCACTCACCAATGTTAGACATACAGACACACATCCACTCACCAATGTTAGACATACAGACACACATCCACTCACCAATGTTAGACATACAGACCTACAGACAGACACACACACACTCACCAATGGAGACCTCCTTAATGAGTTCTGCGGCAGCATGCGCCCCCTGCACCAGTGCCCGGGTCCACGAGGACAGGTCCCAGTGTGTCTCTACCCGGAACACATGGGACTCGATGCCCCGCCCTGTACCCGTCCGAGTGGCAAACACCAGGTCTGCCCCCTGCGCCGGGGAACTGCGGGCACTGCCAGAGTGCACCAGTCTACAGAGAAATGCGAACATACCACAAAAGGTTATATCAGCTCACTCTTTGCGCCTCCCAGTGATTCATAAGTTATGATAACAAAATGCCAACACATCGCAGAGTGAAAAAGGCAGAGAGAGAGAGAGAGAGAGACAGACAGACATAAAAAGAGAGATACAACCTTCATTCTAATTCTGCCTGGCAAACTTGTTGTCCTACCTTGTGGCGAGTAGTGGGTGTGTGAGCAGGGGTGTGGACCAGGCTTCGCGGTTCCATGGCACTGATTCAAACAGCAGGATATCTTTCTCTGTCAGTGCCATGACGATTGGTCGGAACTGGTGCCGCCCACCATCCAGCTGGACCTACACCATAAAGAAAGAGAGACAGCATGAGAGAAGTGTGTGTCAAAGTGCTCATGTCATTTCTGATGAGATTTTCCATATCTGTTTGTGTAGGTGTGTGTGTGTGTCATGCTAGGTGGGCCCAGAGGAAATAGTTAATGCAACGGCAGCTTCCTTTGGTTTTCTGTCTCAAAGTGCTTCCTGTCAACCCTCAACATGGCCAATTAAAAACACACACAGACAATATCTATACATTTAACATGGTATACTGACACTACACCGCTACCTGCTTTGTGGACTATTGCTCCCATGCTGCTATGCCCTGTGGACTATTTGCTGCATTCATTTTGTTCAGCTGTTTCTCTCTTTTCCCCATTGTTGCCCTTTCTTCAATCGTGTTTTCTCTATTGTTCTTTTTAATTATGTGTAAAGTGTGCTGTGACTTGTGACCCATGTAAACTGCACTTGAAATACATTCTGATTTTATTCTGATTTGCACAACATATAAGACAGCACATTTAAAAGACTACAGAATATCACAACTGAAAGTTCAGAAAACACAGTGATCCATTTATAAAACTCTTTACAGTACACATGCACTATTGTACAAGACTGAACAACACTACACAATGCTGTATGTGTGAATCTGTACATAAGTGTACTTGACAGCAGCATACAGTCCTTCAATTTGGTTATTTTGCTTAATATTAAGTGTGTTTGTGTAATTTATTCTGAAGGTCTATATGAGTGCAGTACCTGTTCTGCCAGCCAGCTGATGTGCTTGAGTTGGGGGTGTGACCCGGTGGTGCTGGAGCCCAGGTAGGAGTTAATGTGGACCAGGGTCTGGGGCAACAGGGCAGCAATGTTAGTGTGGATGGCTGTGAACCAGGAGTGGGCGCTGGGGCCGTCCTTACAGCGCATCACCACCGTGTGCTGGCCATCAGGAGAGTGCAGCTCCATGAGCCTTTGGAAGTCAACAGTCCTCATCATCATTATCTTACTAAACATACCAAACCAACATTCTCATTATGTTTCGTATTTTCCCTCATATGCTGCATTTCAATTGCTCTCTCTCATTCACACACACACACACACACACACACACACACACACACACACACAATGCAGATCTTACCTGTTCTCCAGGTCAGGCATGGTCAGGTTCCTGCTGATAAAGCACATTTTGAGGAGGATGATCTTCCGGTCCTTGGCCCCGCTGTGTTTGGGGGACCCAGAGTCCTCACTGCCACTGAAGTTGGGGGACTGAGGACGCACCCCATCCCACGGCAGGTCTGCCACCAAGGAAGGCTTCTTAAACAGTGGGGAAACCTCTCTGATATATTTCACTACCGAAATGCAGAAAGACACAAAATAAAGAACATTAGTGATTAATTATGCATAGACCTCAAGTTGTACAAAAGTGTGTCCAAAAGCAACACATGATTGATCATATTTCAGACTGTGGTTGAAAAGTTGCAACGCTCAATTACAGAGTAATAAATGTCTTATAAGGAGGTATTAGTCTCTTGTGGAGTTGCTCTGAGTGGGAGAGTTGGCGATGCAGTTGTGTGCTTGGCAGGTCGACTGCTTGGAGAAGAATAGCTTTGACTGAAATCATGGATTCAGTTTCCAAATTTGGTCCAGCGGCCTATTCCACTTCTCCTCCATTCTCGCTTTCCCTCTCTCTCTCTCGCACGGTCTCTCTCTCACTCACTTCTACTGCTGTATGTTAGTCATCTGGATTGCTCTGCTCTGACTGAGAAACTCGATATGAGGAGCTGAAAATATGAGGTAATTGTTGCATGTAGGAGAGGATTAGGGTTGTGAAAGTAATTGGCCCAAACATCTAGAATGAATATGGGTGGACTGTGTGTGTGTGTGTGTGTGTGTGTGTGAGGGAGGTAGAGGTGAGGCACTAGGCCAAGGATTGGAACCTATTTCCAAGACGCTGCAAACCACACTGTTCTTATTAACAGTGTCAGTGAATATTTCTGCTTATGCAAGTCTTTTGGTGTGTTTATGTACTGTATGTGTGTATGTATGTGTTTATGTGTGTGTGTGTGTGTGTGTTTCACGAAGCGGCTGGCCCTCAAGACATGAGCTATAGCATGACGAAACCCCCACCCAAACCCAACCCTGAAGAAATCAAGATGGACAGAGCCTGCTACAGTCATACAGCGAATCCTGACGGAGCAAAATATAGATTATACTCACTGCCATAGTGTCATATGTCCAATACACACAGCCACATGATTTAGTGCAGAAATGTGAGGAGTAGTAAATGACGAATCAAGTTTTAACGTAATCATAACATTTACTGTAAAGATGCTCAGTCAATACTTTTTCCAGTCACAACACCACTGCAGTGTTCCAGTGTGGTTATAAATGTCATGGTATGTTTAAGTACAGGCTCTGTCTCTGTGTGTGGTATTCCTGCGTCCCCACTCTACTGTAGCTCTGGTATCTGTACGGATATGCTTTAGCCATGACAGGTTGAGCTATACGTGACAAAGACATTATGACACTGGCTCGCACTCAGAGGAAAGATACATGTTGGAGGCTTGGAAGCTTACCACTACATCTCCATCTGCCAACACTCTCTGCTTGAGTAAGTGCAGACTGCATTGGAACAAGGAGGATGTTGGTGTTTTATGGCAGTGTTTTCTGTTGAAGTGAACGAGGAGAAAGTGTGTCCCACACCCAACATGGAGTTAAAACTTTGTGAAAAGTTCTGAGTCAGATAGTTGGTTCCAGAAGATGCCCTCACTGTCCCTCTCTGGTGCTGTTTAAAGATCTCATTAGAACTGTCAGCATTGTCACTCAGCTCCAGTTCGGATTTTAATTAGGGCACTACACAGAGGACCGCGTGTGTGTGTGCATGTCTGCGTGTGTGTAAGAAGGAAAGAAATAAGGAAATAAAAGAAGAGAGCGAGAGATTGAAAGAGATGAGACGAGGTCCCTAGAGGTGCCATCACACATAGCGGAGCTTGTCCGTCTCTCTCCCTCCATACCTCTATGCCCACAGCAATGCAGAGGAATGCCACAGAGAGGAGGAAGGGGAGTAGAGCCACGGTAATATGACCGACTACAACTCATATTTGGCTGAATGAGTTGTGGTTCAAACCCATGCACTGTTGCGCACCCTGCTCCTTTCCCCATGGTTTGATCATGTATACATTTGCTCTCTTCTTCTTGTAGCCTTCACCTGGGTATGACTTTAAGTGATCGCTTACACCCCAGACCCTTACCACTGCTTTTCTTCTGACCAAAATCCCCCTGTGGTTTGTCCAGCTTCACCCTCCTTTCTCTCCCCCTCCCCCTGCCACAGACTGTTCTCATTAAAGGCCTGGCAGCACACAGTGTGTCAGACTCCCCAGATTGGGAGGGGGTAGGGGGGTTGTAGAAGGCTCTGGAGAGGCTCCCTCTGCTCCCCTCAAATATACACACCTGCCCCCACTCAACAAAAAAAAAACCTCTGCTGCTCCCATTCAAACACACACACCTGCCCCCCTTCCTCACATCTTTTCACCCTGACCTGGATCACAAAAGGATGGCATGCCAATTAGCATTGTATATATCCAGTATGTGGATTAAAAAAATAAAAATTATACAAAGTGCACATGCTACTACACTGTCCATGCAATGAATCACACATACAAATGTCTTAGTTAAGTAGGTTATACTCAGATATATTTATGTGGATATCCATCTCTGTTTACAAACACAGACAACTTGAAAAAAACATGAAAGAACGATGAGAAAGAAAGAGAGACTGGAGAGCAAATGTGCTTTTTCCACTGATATGAATCAATAACGACAGTGTTTCTTAAATTAGTTACATACAACATTAACCTGGATTCATACTTTATATGTGGTGGCTTTTATGATGCATTGCAGACTCAAGTGAAATGTTCAATGGTCATTGGTCAGTAAGTTTTGGCTTGTGAGCATAAGAAAATAACTGTCTCTAATCGGGCCTGTCCCCATTTTATGAATAGAGTCTTTGTCTCTTTGTAGTGTTTTTATTCTTCCTTTTAACCAGACAATGGCCTCCTCCTCTATCCACCAACGATCAGACAAACTAAACAAGACAGCCATGATCCAATTGACTAGCGTTATTCAGTTATTACATGTCCATTACAGTGAGCTCATATTTATTATGAACGGTTAAATAAAGCAGCTATCATATTAGTTAGAAACACAAAATCCATGCCTGTGTGAGAGTTTTACACAGGCCTTGGAAGCAACCTGGGTCAGGAATGTGAAGTCACTAATTGCCATAATGTCTAGCGTTTATGTATTGTGTACATTACATAGTGGTCTGGAAATTGAAACCTCATTCTGACCTTACGTTATGTCGGTCTGTGGTTAGGCCTATCGGAGTCTTCAGAGGATGAGGAGAATGCAGACAGATTGGAATTGGGGTCCATTTACAAACACCACAACTCACTCCCTGTCATTCTAACAAACAGTGACAGGCAACTGGCACATTCCTTAAACAAAATCCCAGGTTGCCCGCAATGGAGAGACACAGATTACACAAACTCTTATTTAGGACTATTAGGCCTATTTCAGACGACAAGCAGAAAATACTACTTTATTTTGGGGGTTATAGTGAGAACTCATTTGACTTGCTAAATGACGCAAACTGCTTCACACTAACCAACTCTCTACATCCAACCTTATTCAGTATTCATGCTGGGTTAATTTCCAAAACATTAACCACCACACAGTGCATTTCAGCCACTGACCAGTTGTTTCCAACCCCCGGGGAAACAAAGTACTCTTAAAATCAATATAAGAGCACACAAACATGATGATTCACTGTTTTAGCATACAATGATTTACCTAAAATAATCCAATGCCACAAATCCAATGTAGCTAATTTTGTCACCACTGTGCAATACTTTCCTGTTTACAATAGGCCAAATGATAGGCTACGTTGAGTCAATTGACACCGCCCCCTTTAAAATCCCATCAACAGTTGTGGAGTGTGAACTGGTTACATAGTAACCTATAGCTATGCGCTGTGGTCTGGCAATGTGCCAGAAAGTAAACATCGTAGCCTAAAACCATGGCCAGAATTCTGGCTACGTTGAAAATAAATGGAAAAGTAGCCTGGGCATCAATCAGTTCAATATACTGAATGTTAATCATCCAACTGGCTGCTCATTATCTTATTTTTGGTATTTCTGTGTGTCTATTTCCTGACGCAATATTCGGCCCACAGCTGCATCCTAGGCCTAGGCTACAACTTCTAAAAAGAGGCAGAATAAAGTTGTATTTGGCTATAAAGCGAACATTGTTTAGGCTACTACTGAATGTTGCTGTCAGACTGACTGGCCTTCTCAAATCCCCGCTATTGCGTTTGGAAACTTACCTTCAAGCGTAACCTCTTTCCCGGCCTTTTTTAGAGCCTGGACCGCTAGATCATGCGTAGCCTCCCTGAGGTCATTTCCATTGACTGACAGGATCGCGTCGCCGACCCGAAGAGCCCGACTCTGATCAGCTGCAAGTCCGGGGAAGATCTTGGATATGAGGATGGGCATTCGGTTTTCCCGACCCCCCTTGATACTGATCCCCAACCCGCCCGACTCTTGTTTTACAACTCTAACTTTACGCACAGCTTCCGATGCGCCGGATTCTAAATTGATGGAAGTTTCGCCATGCCTGGAACTGAAGCTAGATCCAGGACTACCGTAACTGGACCCCGGGCTGCCAAAATCAGAGTTCGTACCGTTATCGCGATTATACTTGCCAGAGCTGGGGCTATTAAAACCGTCGTAGTGACCCCGATTGATGCCCCCGCACGCTGGGCTAACGCTTCGTCCTAGCGCACCATGGTTCGGATGTTGCTCTGGGTTCGAGTTTTGACCACGGTTCGAATTTCCCGACGCTAACCCCGGATCGTTTCCGTTCGACATTCCATTTCGCAGGCCCGCTGAATTGTTGTAATCCAAGTTGTTCCCGTGCGCGTGTATCTCTGCTTCGGCCGTTAATGTGAAAGTCTCGCGGGTCAATTCGGCGGCTACCCGAATCCAGCGGTCCCGGAGCAAAAGGTCTAATTGACCATTTTTGTCCGCTCGTGTCCAGACAGCCATCCTGGTAGTCCGCGGTAGGTTTCAGACTAAACTCATGATGAACTTTTCCTCTTTTCAGAGTGCGTAGGGTACCCAAGCACTAGCCTACACTACATTTGACACACCCACTTACGCACAGATTGCGGGAAATTGAAGGACATTTTTCTAAAAAGGGTGGAAGGGACTCAACTGCCTCTGATGTACTTCCTCGTCATTTGGCGTGCTAAAGCCGGCAGCCTGCTGAGTAAAAACTCCGAGCCAGATGACAGAAACAGCCAATGAATGGGACCTTAAATTACTTATTCATGAAAGAGGCGGGGTGTCAAGAAATTCCCAGACATGTAGGCCTACTTTTACCTTCTTCAGACATAGGCCTACTTTTTTTATATTCTGAAGGCTAGTCCATCTCCCTTCTTGCTATAGGGCTCTATTATCCTGTCTATTACATTGTAACAGACACTTTCTTATATAGGTGTATCTAATGGATTAATGAATGATAATAGCATTTAACATGTAGGCTATTGCATATTAGTGAACAATTCATTGACCTTTTAACCTATCTAACAAAGCTTTAGATCTTCTCATGGTAGCACAACGTCAACAAGCAGACTAGACTACAACAGTTTTATAGAAATATACCTACAGTCTAAGGCTTCCTTAGCCTTCCAAGGAAGGAGATGGACAGATCCACACTGTAGACATAGGACTTCCTTTTTACATTAGATTTATTGCAGTTGAGGTTTACTGGGTGATTGGAAAATTTGAGCAGATCGCACAGGGCCATCGAGGGTGAGAAAGGGGGTTAATGTCATTCTGAAGCAGCAGAGATAGGAGGCTGGGGTCCAGTCCAGTTTGGTGCCAATGGGACAGGTCCCTTCCAGGACCACTTTCACCCAGAACTGACCCTTACTGGTCCTCTCGGACCCGATTACATTCAGGCAGTCAGAAAGACGGTGCCACCGTGCATCATCAAGTTGGACCACAGATAATCCAAGCACATTCTAAACTAAAAAAATACTTATAATGAAATATCTCTTCTATTCAGCCTGCCATAGTGTCATTTTAACATTCCAGAAAAAAATTAAGTGTTCTGAGGAGGTGTGTCAATGTAAGATGTGTTCACAGAAAAATTTGTTATTTTGGTGTTAAAAGAGTATACTGTATTACATTCATAACTAAAACAAGGCAACTAGGGAGCTAAATATTTAGCCTACACCTTAAACTCTTGGCTCCTACAGTAGATATATCTCCTCTTTCCAATCATCCTCATCAATTCCGCTCTCACCTCTTTCCTCCTCCCTCGTATTTTGCCTTTCCTCTCTGCTTGTGCATTAAACCAGGGAGTGAAGTCAATATATGTGTGATAAGGCAGTCTTATATGGTTGTCCCTAGGCCATGTCCTATGAACCTCTCTACAGAGGAGGCAGAGAAACAACCCTTAACAAGCACTTCAGCAGGGGGGGGGGGGGGGGGGTTTGAGTGGGCTAGTAGTGCAGCAGAGGGGCACCCTGCTAAGGAGGTGGGGTAAACCAACAGTCAATCTATTCACTTGTCCTTTCTCTTCAAGGTGGGTGGCTGTGGTGATGCGTGAGGCTGGGGGTGTGGCTTGGGCGTAGCTCTCTCCCTCTTGGGAGTGTTGTTGAGGATGTCCAGGCTCCGGCGGCTGGACGAGATGACATCAGCCACAAACTTGGTGCAGTCTGCACAAACATCCCGAAGGCTGCAGCCATGGGTGTACAGGTGGGGGAACTCCTCCTCCACAGACCGGCGGGAGAGAATACACAGAGATCTGTGGAGAGGGAGCGAGGTGTTATAATCCATCAGTGGAGCGCTCAGTATATAATATGACCAGGAACATTCTGGGCCTGGAGTTTTTCCTGATCAGGTCACATGGTTTGGAACAACTCTAGGCCCTTCCCATCTGTAGGAGCTTGCAGGGGGATATTAAAGACGGACTGCGGCGCAATCGGATGGGTAATTACTACAAAAAGGCTGCTTAGAGATCTGGATGAACCAGAGGCATTATACAACAGATGCTGAGAGATCTAGAGGAAGGACAGTGATTGGATTGAGCATGTAAGTTACTATTGGCTGGGGTGAGCAAAGACTTCTTCTGTTGAGGTAAAGACAGATCCAGTTCAGTGGCCATGAAGACAGACAGACAGATAAGACTCACTTGTAGACCTCACTCTTGCGACCATGGCTCTTTGGGCTGCTGTGAAAGCCCACAGTGTAGACTGGGATGTGGGCCATCTTCTTGGAAGGAATCTTCATCTGTGGCAGAGGGCGAGGGAAAGCAGAGAGTTAAAATAGGCATGGGTGAGGAGGAGGAGGAGGAGGAAGAGAAGGTGGAGTAGGACGTTTAAAGAACTGAGTGAGATCATATCGGCAGGAGAAAGTGAAGAGGAAATGGCAGACTTGATATGATTAGGAAATATGAGAAAAGACAGAGCTGTGTGTATGAGGGAGAAACAACGTCACAAAACATCAACCACATACCACAGGCACCCAAATCCACACAGAACCACATATCTAAACTATAAACTCACACAACTCAGAACCTCACTGTACACAAACACAAGCAAGGAATCACCAAACATAACCATACACTCATATAGCATCACATACAACAGAACACACAACAGAACCTCAAGGCACAATCACAAACTGTATTCAGAACCATGAACTTAAAAAACACAGAACTACACAGCACAGACAAACTGCAATCTCACACAACAAACTCAACAGCCCAGACCTCAAACCTACATAGCACAGAACCACACATCCAAATGGTCTGGTGGGTGACTGAGGCACAGTTGAAAATAATTGACATAATTAAAAGCACATAATAATACTATGAGCCAACACAGAATATCTTAGATACCTTTTGCTCGTAAAATAGATATTTTCAATACAAACAACATTAGCAAAAAGCACTGTAGAAAACATTACACATTCAAAGAACATTAATTTGCATTTACACAGACAAAGACAAAGGGACTGTAGGATACCTTTGCACTGCAGAATCCACAGACAGACCTGAAGGGGAGAGAACCACAGGGACAGAGTTAAGAATCCCCTGAATTACACTGCCAAAAACACGTAGAACACTATTCAATCAAACCCACAATGGTATGTCAAAAACAACATTATTCTTGTGCTTCTTGAGCAGAGAGGGACCAAGTTTAAATTAATTGAATATGGTGTTATTACAAAAGGAGCATGTACTAATGTAATAATACATACTGTGTAGTGTGTACTCACCTTTTACAGAGCAGGCAGCTGGATGGCCAGGAAAAGAGGGGGAACTTAATTCTGCAGCAACAGCACACCTGCGAGACACATACATATACTGTCGATAGAACCTCACTCATAAGGCTTTGAGAGAACGTTATCATACTGTAGATAGAACATCGCTCATAACGCTTTGAGAGAACATTATCATACTGTAGATATAACCTCACTCATAAGGCATTGAGAGAATGTTATCATACTGTAAATAGAACCTCGCTCATAAGGTTTTGAGAGAACGCTACCAAAGGATGTGACGTCACTGCCTGTACCTTGCCTCTCCTCAGATTGTAATACAGTTCCTTGTTCTGCAGGTACTTCTCCATCTCTGCTTTCACGAGCACACGACGCACATTGATGACCTCATCCACTGTTAAGGCAAGACTCTCCACTGGGTGACTGAATTCCTCCTTACAGGGGGGGGGGGGGGGGGGGGGGGGAAGTAGGTAGAGGGAGTTAGCTAGTATAATATAATGGTCAGGTCAGGTTGAAGTGGAGCAGAGAACACCCAGGGTAAACAGTGTGGAGAGGTTATCAAAGATAATGGGCCACTCACCATCCACTGGTGTTTATTGCCATTCCGAGAACTGGAGCCGGTCTCAGCTCTCTCTGTGGTCTCATCCACTGAGCTGAGAGAGAGACGGGCAGGGGAGGGCGGCACCCAGCCTGGCACAGGAAGAGAGGCTGGGAACAAGGAGATGGAGACACAGAGGAGAGAGCAAGAGAGAGAGAGAGAGAAGCTTTGAATCACAGTCCATGTTCTTCTATTGAGTCAGAGCTCTGATCATCCAAAAGTGTAGGCTACATAAATTAGGTGGCAATTAGATAAATGAGTGGTGACATGTTTTATCTATTTGTTTTTAGTGGGGTATAACACAAGCTGCCAGAAACATTTGCAAATCAGATCACAGTGGATCTTTGATGAGTATGATATGAGGTCCATTTTTCTAACATTCAAGAGAGTAACTCAATTGGGGTCAGAGGAAATAAAAAGTAGGCTAGGTATTAGTAGAAATACTTTCTACAGGACATAACCTCTAAGACTAAGTACCAACCTACAGTTGAAGTCGGAAGTTTACATACACTTAGGTTGGAGTCATTAAAACTCGTTTTTCAACCACTCCACAAATTTCTTGTTAACAAACTATTGTTTTGGCAAGTCGGTTAGGACATCTACTTTGTGCATGACACAAGTAATTTTTCCAACAATTGCTTACAGACAGATTATTTCACTTATAATTCACTGTATCACAATTCCAGTGGGTCAGAAGTTTACATACACTAAGTTGACTGTGCCTTTAAACAGCTTGGAAAATTCCAGAAAATGATGTTATGGCTTTAGAAGCTTCTGATTGGCTAATTGACATCATTGAGTCAATTGGAGGTGTACCTGTGGATGTATTTCAAGGCCTACCTTCAAACTCAGTGCCTCTTTGCTTGACATCATGGGAAAATCAAAAGAAAATCAGCCAAGACCTCAGAAAAAATATTGTAGACCTCCACAAGTGTGGGTCATCCTTGGGAGCAATTTCCAAACGCCTGAAGGTACCACGTTCATCTGTACAAACAATAGTACGCAAGTATAAACACCATGGGACCACGCAGGCGTCATACCGCTCCGGAAGGAGACGCGTTCTGTCTCCTAGAGATGAACGTACTTTGGTGCGAAAGGTGCAAATAAATCCCAGAACAACAGGAAAGAACCTTGTGAAGATGCTGGAAGAAACAGGTACAAAAGTATCTATATCCACAGTAAAACGAGACCTATATCGACATAACCTGAAAGGTCGCTCAGCAAGGAAGAAGCCACTGCTCCAAAACCGCCATAAAAAAAGCCAGACTGCGGTTTGCAACTGCACATGGGGACAAAGATCGTACTTTTTGGAGAAATGTCCTCTGGTCTGATGAAACAAAAATAGAACTGTTTGGCCATAATGACCATTGTTATGTTTGGAGGAAAAAGGGTGTAGCTTGCAAGCCGAAGAACACAATCCCAACTGTGAAGCACGGGGGTGGCAGCATCATGCTGTGGGGGTGCTTTGCTGCAGGAGGGACTGGTGCACTTCACAAAATAGATGGCATCATGAGGAAGGAAAATTATGTGGATATATTGAAGCAACATCTCAAGACATCAGTCAGGAAGTTAAAGCTTGGTCGCAAATGGGTCTTCCAAATGGACAATGACCCCAAGCATACTTCCAAAGTTGTGGCAAAATGGCTTAAGGACAACAAAGTCAAGGTAATGGAGTGGCCATCACAAAGCCCTGACCTCAATCCTATAGAAAATGTGTGGGCAGAACTGAAAAAGCGTGTGCGAGCAAGGAGGCCTACAAACCTGACTCAGTTACACCAGCTCTGTCAGGAGGAATGGGCCAAAATTCACCCAACTTATTGTGGGAAGCTTGTGGAAGGCTACCCGAAACGTTTGACCCAAGTTAAACAATTTAAAGGCAATGCTACCAAATACTAATTGAGTGTATGTAAACTGGGAATGTGATGAAAGAAATAAAACCTGAAATAAATCATTCTCTCTACTATTATTCGGACATTTCACATTCTTAAAATAAAGTGGTGATCCTAACTGACCTAAGACAGGGAATATTTACTAGGATTAACTGTCAGGAATTGTGAAAAACTGAGTTTAAATGTATTTGGCTAAGGTGTATGTAAACTTCTGACTTCAACTCTAGGTATTGGTACTTAAAAGACTCAACTTTCTTTATGCGAAATGGAAAGGAAGAAGGCACTAATTGGACAGTGTGTTAACAAACCTCCAAACGAGCTTCAATTCCATACAACACTCCTTCAGTAGCCTCCAACTGCTCTTAAACACTAGTAAAACTAAATGCATGCTCTTCAACCGAACGCTGCTTGCACCCGCCCACCCGACTAGAATCACTACTCTAGACAGGTCTGACCTAGAGTATGTGGACAACTACAAATATCTAGGTGTCTGGTTAGACTGTAAACTCAACTTCCAGACTCACATTAAGAATCTCCAATCCAAAGTTAAATCTAGAATCGGTTTCCTATTTCGCAACAAAGCCTCCTTCACTCATGCTGCCAAACATGCCCTCGTAAAACTGACTATCCTACCGATCCTTGACTTCGGCGATGTCATTTACAAAATAGCCTCCAACACTCTACTCAGCAAATTGGATGTTGTCTATCACAGTGCCATCCGTTTTGTCTCCAAAGCCCCATATAATACCCACCACTGTGACCTGTACGCTCTTGTTGGCTGGTCCTCACTACATATTCGTCGCCAAACCCACTGGCTCCAGGCCATCTATAAATCACTGCTAGGCAAATCCCCGCCTTATCTTAGCTCATTGGTCACCATAGCAACACCCACCCGTAGTCTGCGCTCCAGCGGGTATATCTCACTGGTCATCCCCAAAGCCAACACCTCCTTTGGCCGCAATTCCTTCCAGTTCTCTGCTGCCAATGACTGGAACAAATTGCAAAAATCTCTGAAGCTGGAGACACTTATCTCCCTCACTAACTTTAAGCATCAGTTGTCAGAGCACCTTACCGATCACTGCACCTGTACACAGCCCATCTGAAATTAGCCCGCCCAACTACCTCATCCCTATATTGTTATTTATTTTGCTCATTTGTACCCCAGTATCTCTATTTGCACATCATCTCTTGCACATCATTCCAGTGTTAATACTAAATTGTAATTATTTTGCACTATAGCCTATTTTATTGCCTTACCTCCATAACTTGCTAAATTTGCACACACTGTATATATATGTATTTCTGTTGTATTTTTGACTTTGTTTTGTTTTACCCCATATGTAACTCTGTGTTGTTGTTTTTTATCGCACTGCTTTGCTTTATCTTGGCCAGGTCGCAGTTGTAAATGAGAACTTGTTCTCAACTGGTTTACCTGGTTAAATAAAGGTAAAATAAAAAAATATATAAAAAAACTAAGTAACCCTGAGACATAACTGCGTGGACTCCTATGGAGTCTAACCACACCATGGGAGTCTACAGCCATGTTAGAGCTAGGATTAGAGCAGGGTTAGAGCCGGGTTAGAGTGAGGACCAGAAAACTAGAAAACAATAGCAGGCTACATGTAGGCTAACATAAATCAGCTGCTTATGATGACATTGTTGACATTTCTGGCATGCGTGTGATGAGAAAGGGTTGACATCCCCCTAGTGGTAGAACAGGAGACGTCACTGAACCACCTTTGTTTTTGTTCTCTCCTAGCTATGGTCAACACATCTCACAAATTAAGGGGCGTAGAAGGTGGGTATGATATGAAAGAAAAACATGTATCAAACCCATTAACTGTTGTCCTTCTAGTATTTTACTGAGCTAGTTCCTATCTGTACGTCTTTATACGTTGATTAGTATCCATCACAAAACCCTTTGAGCAAGAAATCATTGTAAGCAATTTACAGAATGGATTGACACACATTAGGCCTATATGTGATTGCCTCCCGACATTGAATAAGATATAAACACTATAACAAACCTTGTTCAGAATTGTTTACAAAGTCCTCTATAGCATTGGTTGTTTTTTAAAACGTTTTTTAACGGTTTAGACTAATGTTTTTTCCATTGCAATTATATTATTTTTTTGTCAGGCTTGCTTTACAACACAAATAAACATTTGACATGACGAAAATACCACTATATCTGTTTCATAAACCATATTACAGTAAGTAGCCTAATGAGTGGAGCTGCAGTAGCACATTAATACATATTACAGTAAATGTCTCCCTCTGCTTACCAAGACCTGAAACTGTCTGCAGTGAAAGGAGTCTCAGTGAGCCTACTGACCTCTGTGCGTGGAGGGTGGCCCAGCCCCTGAGAGCATGTGTAACCATGGTCTCTCCCCCCTTCGCATCACGGCCCCTTCCAGATGGGTGCAGTCGGACAGCGAGGGGAGTATCTCCCCCCTGAGCTCAGCCAGGTCGTGTTCTGAGAAGGAGCGGTCCCGTTTCATAGATGTGGGAAAACTCTCAGCACGGCAGCGCTCCCCACTGTCTGGAGACTCCTCATCCTGCAACAGCAACAAGACAGGAGGACAACAGTGAGGAGGATGAGATAGAGGAGGACAAGGAGGGGGGAGGAGGAGAAGGAGGAGGTGGTGATGGAGGTGGAGGAGAAGGAAGTGATGGAGGAGGAAGAGGAGGTGATGGAGGTGGTGATGGAAGTGGAGGAGGAGGAGGAGGTGATGGAGGAAGAAGAAGAAGAAGAAGAAGAAGAAGAAGAAGAAGAAGAAGAAGAAGAAGAAGAAGAAGAAGAAGAAGAAGAAGAAGAAGAAGAAGAAGAAGAAGAAGAAGAAGAAGAAGAAGAAGAAGAAGAAGAAGGAAAACATGAGTGCTTGTGTGAGACGCTGTGTTGGTGGATGTTGTAGTTGTTATTTCTCAGTATTCTAAATGTAAGAGGTAGTACATTTAAATGAGAAAACAATATAGTTTCTCTTCTCTTTTCCCTCTAACCTCCAAAATGTTCATTTCCTCCATCTCTTGAAGAGTAGGGGCTTTGAGCAGAACACGGAGACGAGAAGGGGGACGGGACCCTAGCTCTGAGACTGACAGGTCAATGCAGGAAGTAGATTTGAAATCACACGGGCAAGTGTGTGCCAGACAGGGCAGGGAGCCAAATGCTGGCGAATGAAACACAACACACAAACACTGAACTCTCAAACACATTTTACTTAGAATACATTCCACAATATGAACATACTACATGTATAACTCTAAGTATTAATGTAGTGACAGTGATGTCCATACATCTTTTGGAGCTGGGTGGGTCCACAGGTTTCAGTTTGCGCTCTTGTTTGATTTCAGCCAGGACACGTTCATGGAGGGACTGCTTCTCCTGAGGAGGAGGGGGCAGGTTTCGCTCTGACGCCTAGCATGTAACACATCACAACATACAGACTGAGAACACAGGAGAAACAGACACAGACACATATTACCCAGTCTCAGACTGTGACACCTTGTGACATCCAAGGTACTGGCACAGCCACACTGCAGTCATGTCAACAAAACAAATTGTAGTGAAAGGGACGCTCACTGGTTTGAGTGGAGGGCGAGACCTGATGAAGTCCAAAATAAGCTCATGGGCATTTCTCTTCACCCGCGTAGGGATGTCACCATCCACCTATGGAGACAAAATGAGCGAGGGCTGGGAGATAAATACAGGAGAAATAACTACTTGATCCATTGATCAAGAGTCCTCTTATCAGTATCAATACCCAGCTCACCATGACTTTCCGCAGCTGGAACTTGCGGGTGCGGATGTCCTGCATGAGCATCTCAAAAGGTGTGAGGCTGAACTCAGTGGGCAGTGGGTCAAACTCCTGGTCCTGTACCTTCTTCAGCTTCACCCCCTGTCTCAGCTCCTTCATCAACTGGACCCAGAGACGAGTCTGAAACACACACATACACTCATGTACCTCACACACACACCCCATCAACCCAATGAAGGAACATACAGTACATACCACATATCCTCATCTACACACACAGTGACACAGATAAACATACACAATCCCCGCTTCTCACCCAGTCTGTTTGTTTAAGTGCATCGATCTCAGCTCTATCTTCCTGAGGATCCTCTGTTTTGATCTTCTTCAGCATCTACAGAGAAATGATAATACACTGATAATACCACCACTATTCAGTTAACAATGATTTCAGTGCTTTACATGTGAGTGATCTGTAATCTCTGGTATAAACAAATCAGGAACATACCTTCTTGGCATCTCGGATTTTGGTCAGGAAGGTTTGTAGCTCCAGAGTCTCAACAAACAAGGCTCGGCACACAGCCTGGTAGTGCTCAGGGGCAAGGGCAGGGTTGGCCAGTCTGGAAGCGCAAAGTGTCATCACCTGACGTAATGTACCCACTGGCCTCATAGCCCCCTCTTCTCCCTCCTCTTCCTCCTCCTCCTGACCACTGTAGCCCTCATCTGTAGTTGCGTTGCCACCACCACAGTCAGCCCCCAGGCTGTGATCTCCCCCTGCCATGCGCTCAATGAGCCGCTCCAGCTGAGGACTCAGCTCCCGCTCCTCAGTGTCATCCAGTCCCCAGTCCAGGGCCTGGTAGATGGCCACGCCCAGAGACTGGACCAGCTGAGGAGACAGATTCAAGTGATAGAGGAAATAAATAGGAGTGGACAACAAGCTGTGAAGATAGAGAGGACTGGAGGGCTGCTTGGAAGATGGACTGCTCCAAATATGGAGACTGGCAAAGCAGGGTGGCATCATAGCTGGCATTCACCTATCATGACAGTGTGTTGTATGTTACAAGGTGGTGATGAGGGGTTCAGAAACTCACCTGGCGCTCTGCAATAGGTGGGAGGGGAGGTCCGTCTGTGTCATCTATGAAGACAAAAAAGTAGGCATGCAGCCGCATAACTAGCAAACACTGTTTTATACTTGCTCACCTCCCTGATATGGTCTACAGTTTTCCATCCATCTCACACATTTTTGTTACAATACATGGTTCAAATTATCATTTCGATCTATGAATTTCAGAGCAGTTACATTTCTCCAGCCCCACCCCTCAGCTGTTTACCAAAAAATTGGCAGGGTGGCGCTTTGTTGTTGTTTGAATCCCAGATTGCCCCTTTGACTTTGCATTTTATGGGTATAATTAAGCAATAAGGCCCGAGGAGGTGTGGTATATGGCCAATATATCACGGCTAAGGGCTGTTCTTATGGACGGATACAGCTCTTAGCCGTGGTATATTAGCCATATACCACAAACCCCTGAGGTGCCTTATTGCTATTATAAAGTGGTTACCAACTTAATTAGACCAGTAAATAGTCATGTTTTGTCATACCCATAGGATACGGTCTGGTATACCACGGCTTTCAGCCAATTAGCATTCAGGGCTGGAACCACTCGGTTTATGAATATGATTAGAGACAATATATAGTAGAAAATGCTGACAAAATGCATCATTTTCCCACCATTTAAAAAATGGTTTTATTTAACCTTTATTTAACCAGGTAAGTCAGTTGAGAACAAGTTCTCATTTACAACTGCGACCTGGCCAAGATAAAGCAAAGCAGTGCGATAAAAACAACAACAACACAGAGTTACATATGGAATAAACAAAAACGTACAGTCAATAACACAATAGAAAATCTATATACAGTGTGTGCAAATGTAGTAAGTTATGGCGGTAAGGCAATAAATAGGCCATAGTGCAAAATCATTACAATTTAGTATTAACACTGGAGTGATAGATGTGCAGAAGATGATGTGCAAATAGAGATACTGGGGTGCAAATGAGCAAAATAAATAACAATGTAAATAACAATATGGGGATGAGGTAGTTGGGTGGGCTAATTACAGATCCCGTATGACTAGAATGCGCATTTTTCATTTTATTGTCGTCAAATTCTATATATCTCATGTGCTGCAGTCACAACTCAGCTAGCCAGTAATGGCTCAGTTTTCTGTGTGTACAGAGAAGTGCAGGGCTCAGATGTCAGTAATGACACCCGGGAGGCCTGACACCACACATTCAGCACATTAGCGCTGCAGAACCCAAGACTAGTGGAGAGGCCTGGGTGAGGGGTCAGTGCTGCTCCTTCTGTCCAGAACAAAGCGATGAAAGCAGGACTAGGCCCAGATTAACAGAGCCTGTCTGAATAGATCTGCGCCATGAACAAAGAGTCAGCCTGACACAGAGTCATAGTACTGTTCTCTCTCAGGAGCGTGAAGTCATTTCTATTCAAGTCCCTCAGAAGCTGAGTAATAGATCCTTTCTGAAGCAGTTAGACAGGTTTCATTATGGCCGGTTAGGGTCACGTAACCAATGACACAGACAGTGGCCATGTCCCGAATACCCATACTAGCATACTACATTTTACATTTTAGTCATTTATCCAGAGCAACTTACAGTTAGTGCATAATTTTTTTTTTCTTCTTCATACTGGCCCCCCGTGGGAAACGAACCCACAAACCTGGCGTTGCAAGTGCCATGCTCTACCAACTGAGCTACACGGGGCCCATACTACATACTTAAATGGCATAGTGATTTCGGCATTTGATCAAGTAGAATCAGAGAGTCAAGAAGAGAGAGGCCCAACTCCGTGGAATATCTGTCTCCCTTCAGCATGTGGCGTTTTTTCGCCCAGCAAGCAATGAGTTTTTGTATGGAGGTCAATGAGAGTGTCGAATTTGGTCAACAACAAAAATGAATGTTTTTTTTGCTAGGTGAGGTTTATTTGATCGAATAGAAGTTTCGTAATTCTTAAGTTGTTAGGAGTGTACTGATATAAGTAGGACACGTGACATCCTGGCAACTTTGAGAAAAAACACTTTATATCGGAGTTGTCTCAAGATGACTATGCATATTCATGAAATGGGGCTAGTAGCATAGCATATCTCTCCATTGAATACAGGCGGTTGACGTCAGCAATCCTCATCGAATATTCAAAAAAGGATTACAAGAACGAGATGTATCCACCAATCCAAAGAAAGGAGCTAGACAGACCGCCGGCCGCTTTGTGGACAACGACTCCTATTGTTAGGGCGGAGAGACATGTATCTTGTCAGTATATCCATAATCTTTGGTGGAATTCACTCGTCTTTTTTCTGACTCATGTGTTTGACAACAGCTGATAATCAGATAAATTGACGCGCTATACCAAAATGAACGAATGGCGGGAATCAACGCAGTCGCGCACAGATGACGCATTCGGAGTACTATTTTCTAAATTTCACATACTATAAAAAAATGTTTGCATACTATTTAGTATGCTGGTATGGGTATTCGGACACGGCCAGTGTCTCGGAGAGAACATGCAGTCTTTCATCTTGTGTCTGTCAGGTGATGATAATTATTTCGCTTTCAGGCAACGTTTTCAAGATTCCATCTCTTTACATTTACATTTTAGATTTTAGTAATTTAGCAGACGCTCTTATCCAGAGCGACTTACAGTTAGTGAGTGCATACATTTTTCACACTGGCCCCCCGTTTGGAGCTGTTTTATGTTTACTGCCCCTGTGATTTACCCCACACTCAAAATATGGACCTGGAATCTGTTGACATGGAAATATCGGGGACAAGACAAACATTTAAAAAAACACAGGGAGGTAAACATTTGTAAAAGTGCATCAGAGAGAACTATTACAGTCACGTCAAACAGTGCAGCCAGAATATCAGCAAAGTAGCTGCATTTGCATTTGTTTAAGCTGTTTTCTAGTGACATTTATTTGGATACATCCATAACAATGAGCTAATGATACGCGATTTCGCCTGGCATAGAAGATGTGCTAGCTCGTCAGGACACCGTTGTTCAGAGGAGTTAGCCAACAACACAGCTAACACAATTACTTCAAACTGAAGCTGGAAAGACAGCAAACTATCTGCATTTCGTTTCGTTTGACCTGTTTTCTATTGACATTTCTTTGTATATCTCCATAAAAATTATGCCAGCTGATTCATGATTTCGACTGGCTGAGAAAAGTTGCCAGCTTGTCTGTCTCGTCCCGACTCCCTACACGTTCGTTACTATGGGACAGCTGGAGACAGAAAGGTTTATACAAATCTTGGTTGTTGAAAATCAAATGCGAGTCTAAAAGAAATTGGAGATAATGTCTAGATGCTTTTTACAGTGGAGATCAAGTTTATAAATTGCCTGGCTGTGCTGATGAGCCAGTCGATTGCCCAGTGAGATTGAACAGAGTAAATAGGCATTTCAACTTTATAGCTTTAGCCGGTAGTCATTTGTGGAATAGACACCGTCTTAAATGCGGTTTTCACCAATCAACATCCAGGATTAGACCCACCCGTTGTATAATATAAAACACACCCTTAGTAACCTTGACCCTTAACGAACAATCTCTGTAACCTACTTCATTACCTTCATTACTCCCTCATTTGCAGAGGTTAAGTAGCCTAATTGTGATGACCAGACAGGTTGTGATCTGTGATGAAAGTAAACTGTACATAAATAAACTGCAGTGTTGGGGAGTAGTGAACTATGTAGTTCAACTAGTAATTTAACTGCATTTTGCAGTAGCTTGTTGGTAGTTGAAATAATTCAAATCTAGGTAGTGTTTTCAGTAGTTCATTACTTTTTTTGCCATGCAGTGGTGTAGCTAAATACTGGAACTAAACACGACTTTTTTTTGCAAAAATAAAATATGGGTGAAGTAGGCAATCATTTCCTTTATTTTTTGGCATCAGACCAGCCTAATTTTCACTTGAAACATTGTTTTTGTGTTTAATAGGCTAAATTGCACATTCTGTTAACATGCAGTACTGTATGACCCCAAAGTGACTGTTCTTGCAATTTGTAGTCTATGACATTTCAGATTTACATATGATAATTTTTCACAAAGTAGTTTGGATGTAGTGAAGTACTTTTTAAAGTAACTTTAGTTAAGTAAACAATATTTTTCCTAAGGGTAGCTTTAGTGTAGCTTAACTTCTTCCAGTGTGAAGTAATTGGTAGCTTGGTAAACTATATTTTCAGAGTAGCTTCCCCAACACTTGTTAACTGTACCCATACTGACCAACTGCATCAACAATGCAATATAATTGGCTCATCAGCAAGGACACAAATGTTGCCCTCATTAAATTGACGGACTCTCTTCTGTAAATGGCTCCATAAGTGACGAAAACATAGAAGAACATAGAAACACCCCTCCTAAGTAAACAGCTCCCAAGACAAGATGACCACAGTGACCCTGTAGTGGGCTATCAATCACTGTCTGTGCTATTAATTATGATTTACATTGTTCATTATAGAATTTTGTCATTTCTCAATAGTAATAAAAACCCAAAAGTATTTATATATTTGGGACAAAAATTTGGCCTATACAATTCTATCTCAGCAACTGATCTATAGCCTAAACTATTGGATTAGCTTTTGTCCAATGTGTTGTGACATCATTTCTGCGTTTTGTTTAGGCTACATTCTATTACCACTACAAAGTAGCCTATTTAAAATGAAACCGAAAATCAGCATAGTGAGTGATAAGGTGATTTCATATTTTTCTCTCAGTTTTAAGTAATTTTCATAGTCACCCTTAATGTCGCAACATTTCGTAATCTACTAACCTACTATCTTTTTCCACTCCCAGTTGTATCCTTTATCTTATCATGTCATAGCCTAACGAACTGGGCTATGTCAGCAACTCTGACCGAGTTTTTCTTTGGGCCCCGGCCCCGCAGAGCACGCAGGACAGGTATTTTCTTGGCATCCAAGAGATCCTTTAACCTAATCCCTTGTGAATGGGAAGCAGATCACAAAGCTGCACAATACCTCTAACTCGAAACCTTTTGTAGCAGATACAAGGGGGGAATTGCACTGTATGAATAATTGATCATTTCGCCTAGCGGCATAATCCAAGCCATTTCTGTTATCGTGAATTGCCCATTATAAACAATATTCCATGTTGCAATTACAGCATACAAATAGCGAATCAATATCAAATTCATTGAGCAATAACTGAAAGGCCTATAATAAATTAGGCTATATTGTATGCCTAGGCTATGGTGTTAATGAAGGCATTTTGGTACAGCATTGGGCAGTCCGGAAGTTAGATCAATAAATAATATTAGCTAACAGAGCTCTCTTACGGTTGTTGCAGGGCTGTTGCTGTAGGGAAACCATCCCATCCCTGAGTAAGAGTATAGAGGACGGGTCCTTCACCCGGGAAACTCCACCGGGCACAGTTGCCGGGCGCGGCACCCTCAGCCCGCTGCAGCATTGATAACACACAGCCCAAGCCTGCTCCTCGTTGATGGGCTGCTCGTAGGATTTCAACACTTCTTCAAGAGACAGTTCCCTGGGATCGCTCAGGTCCCGCGCCTCTGCCCGGTCCGTGGGAGCGGACACCCTTGAATCTCCATCCTTGACGCTTCTGTTTGTTGATCTGGCCATGGCTGCGGTAGGCTACCTATCCCATTGCTCTGTGGCCATTATCTTTTCACGCAGGGTTCTTTCCTTTCACACAGCACGCCAACTCAACTGCCACAGCTGCGAGTTACCATATAGCAAATGAAAGCGATCTTTGATCTGCAGGAATGTCAATCAGCGCCAAGGAAAGGAGAGGAGGCGGGAGGAGGAAACCTGCAAAGACAAAAAGGGGCAATCTTGTTGAAAATGTTTGACCACCAGCCAGACGAGTACTGGTAAACAATGAAGAAGAGATAAATAAACCCTTAAAGATGATTGTAATTGAGAGAATAGACCATACGCTCAGGTTTGACAGTCGGGTCCCCCAGATTCTCCGCTCCACTGCAGTGCATCCCCGCATTCCCTGTGCTCCGCCCCTGTCTCACGCAGCCTGAGCATCATCCAACCAACCCACAAATCTATCGAAGTGGCGACCTCCACTCTGTGAGAATGTCAGCGCTCACATGCATATTGTTAGATAAACAAACAGAAGCAGTGGATACATCACATCAGCAATTCATTCATGAGACTCAATCCCCCTATGGTTAGGCCCAAGGAAATAATTCCGATTATAGCCAAACATTACATAGCCAGAGCTTGTAAAGGGTTTATAACTCTCAGTAGTTATTGACTGTTCATCATTAGTTAATATAGGATAGTCTAGTTTATAAATCAATAATAAACATTGTTTGAAAAGGTGTCATAACTTGAATAGGCCTACACCATTCACAAACCCTTCATACAACCTTTGTATACACTTTATAAAAAGTATATTAATATTACAGTTATAAATGGAAGATTTTTTCTTTTGATTTATTCATGCACCAGTTGGTCCAAAAATAAATAGTTCTGCATTCCCCCTCAAGCAAAGTCACAAGTTGATTATGAACAGAAAAATCCATATGGTTAAAGAGACTCTCCATAACTTTTATATATTTTTAGCCAGTAGTTCTGAAAGCAGCGCCAATTGGGTCACTACAATAGGGTCCCTAAAAGTTGTGTACTAAGTCATCACGTAATTGCTCTCAAGCCCCTGCAGTTGTGCACAAAGACATGCACGCGCTTGGGGGCTCATCCCACAACCTCACAATGCTGTGCCGATCTGATCCTGCCTCCCACTTTAACCTTGCAACCTCATTGGACATCATTACACCTGCCAATCAACATTGTCCCTCAATGTTCGGTTGTCGCTAATTCCTTGTTGCTTGTTGTACAGATTATTATGGCAAGCAAGCGATTGTGAGGATGTCATTTTATACAATTTAAAAGTTATAGCCTAATTATATGTTTGCATTAAATGTCCTACTCCTTGAAAGTCGTGTAATGATTTGGATGGATTCATTATTTGATTTGGATGGATGGTTGACACAACAGAAAGGTACAGCAATATTTTCTTATCTAAAAAGTGGGTGAAAGTTTGAGGTATACATTTCTAGAGCGCATCAAAGTTCTGTGTGTGTTGTGTCGTGATTTCTGCCTAGTAAAAACCTTTGTTTTTTGCGCAATATATTCCAAATTTAAAACAAAATACACCAGCGACACCATTTAGGAGATACAGGTTGTGAGCAGTGTTTCTGATCGGCTTGACAATTGTCTTCTAATGTACACTGCTCAAAAAAATAAAGGGAACACTTAAACAACACAATGTAACTTCAAGTCAATCACACTTCTGTGAAATCAAACTGTCCACTTAGGAAGCAACACTGATTGACAATACATTTCACATGCTGTTGTGCAAATGGAATAGACAACAGGTGGAAATTATAGGCAATTAGCAAGACACCCCCAATAAAGGACTGGTTTTGCAGGTGGTGACCACAGACCACTTCTCAGTTCCAATGCTTCCTGGCTGATGTTTTGGTCACTTTTGAATGCTGGCGGTGCTTTCACTCTAGTGGTAGCATGAGACGGAGTCTACAACCCACACAAGTGGCTCAGGTAATGCAGCTCATCCAGGATGGCACATCAATGCGAGCTGTGGCAAGAAGATTTGCTGTGTCTGTCAGCGTAGTGTCCAGAGTATGGAGGCGCTACCAGGAGACAGGCCAGTACATCAGGAGACGTGGAGAAGGCCGTAGGAGGGCAACAACCCAGCAGCAGGACTGCTACCTCCGCCTTTGTGCAAGGAGGAGCAGGAGGAGCACTGCCAGAGCCCTGCAAAATAACCTCCAGCAGGCCACAAATGTGCATGTGTCTGCTCAAACGGTCAGAAACAGACTCCATGAGGGTGGTATGAGGGCCCGACGTCCACAGGTGGGGGTTCTGCTTACAGGCCAACACCGTGCAGGACGTTTGGCATTTGCCAGAGAATACCAAGATTGGCAAATTCGCCACTGGCGCCCTGTGTTCTTCACAGATGAAAGCAGGTTCACACTGAGCACGTGACAGACGTGACAGAGTCTAGAGACGCCGTGGAGAACGTTCTGCTGCCTGCAACATCCTCCAGCATGACCGGTTTGGAGGTGGGTCAGTCATGGTGTGGGGTGGCATTTCTTTGGGGGACCGCACAGCCCTCCATGTGCTCGCCAGAGGTAGCCTGACTGCCATTAGGTACCGAGATGAGATCCTCAGACCCCTTGTGAGACCATATGCTGGTGCGGTTGGCCCTGGGTTCCTCCTAATGCAAGACAATGCTAGACCTCATGTGGCTGGAGTGTGTCAGCAGTTCCTGCAAGAGGAAGGCATTGATGCTATGGACTGGCCCGCCCGTTCCCCAGACCTGAATCCAATTGAGCACATCTGGGACATCATGTCTCGCTCCATCCACCAACGCCACGTTGCACCACAGACTGTCCAGGAGTCTTTACTGAAGACTTATCTCTTCAGTAGGTCATATGATTGAGTGTAGTCTGGCCCAGGAGTGTGAAGGTGAACGGAAAGGCTGGAGCAACGAACAGCCCTTGCTGTCTCTGCCGGGCCGGTTCCCCTCTCCACTGGGGTTCTCTGCCTCTAACCCTGTTGCAGGGGCTGAGTCACTGGCTTGCTGGTGCTCTTTCATGCCGTCCCTGGGAGGGGTGCGTCACTTGAGTGGGTTGAGTTACTGACGTGATCTTCCTGTCTGGGTTGGCGCCCCCCCCCTTGGTTTGTGCTGTGGTGGAGACCTCTGTGGGCTATACTCGGCCTTGTCTCAGGATTGTAAGTTGGTGGTTGGGGATATCCCTCTAGTGGTGCGGGGGCTGTGCTTTGGCGGAGTGGGTGGGGTTATATCCTTCCTGTTTGGCCCTGTCCGGGGGTTTCTTCGGATGGGGCCACAGTGTCTCCGGACCGCTCCTGTCTCAGCCTCCAGTATTTATGCTGCAGTAGTTTATGTGTCGGGGGGCTGGGGTTAGTTGGTTATACCTGGAGTACTTCTCCTGTCTTATCCAGTGTCCTGTGTGAATTTAAGTATGCTCTCTCTAATTCTCTCGTTCTCTCTTTCTCTCTGAGAACCTGAGCCCTAGGACCATACGTCAGGACTACCGGGCATGATGACACCTTGCTGTCCCCAGTCCGCCTGGCCTTGCTGCTATTCCAGTTTCAACTGTTCTGCCTGCGGCTACGAAACCCCTACCTGTCCCAGACCTGCTGTTTTCAACTCTTTAATGATCGGCTATGAAAAGCCAACTGAGAGACCTGAGCCCTAGGACCATACGTCGGGACTACCGGCCGTGGTGACTCCTTGCTGTCCCCAGTCCGCCTGGCCTTGCTGCTATTCCAGTTTAAACTGTTCTGCCTGCGGTTATGGAACCCCTACCTGTCCCAGACCTGCTGTTTTAAACTCTAATGATCGGCTATGAAAAGCCAACTGAGATTTATTCCTGATTATTATTTGACCATGCTTGTCACTTATGAACATTTTTGAACATCTTGGCATGGTTCTGTTATAATCTCCACCCGGCACAGCCAGAAGAGGACTGGCCACCCCTCATAGCCTGGTTCCTCTCTAGGTTTCTTCCTAGGTTTTGCCTTTCTAGGGAGTTTTTCCTAGCCACCGTGCTTCTACACCTGCATTACTAGCTGTTTGGGGTTTTAGGCTGGGTTTCTGTACAGCACTTCGAGATATTAGCTGATGTAAGAAGGGCTATATAAAATAAAATTGATTGATTGATTGATTGATTGGCGGATGCTTTAGTCCAGGTCTGGGAGGAGATCCCTCAGGAGACCATCCGCCACCTCATCAGGAGCATGGCCAGGTGTTGTAGGGAGGTCATACAGGCACGTGGAGGCCACACACACTACTGAGCCTCATTTTGACTTGTTTTAAGGACATTACATCAAAGTTGGATCAGCCTGTAGTGTGGTTTTCCACTTTAATTTTGAGGGTGACTCCAAATCCAGACGTCCATGGGTTGATAAATTTGATTTCCATTGATAATTTTTGTGTGATTTTGTTGTCAGCACATTCAACTATGTAAAGAAAAAAGTATTTCATAAGATTATTTCATTCATTCAGATCTAGGATGTGTTATTTTAGTGTTCCCTTAATTTATTTGAGCAGTGTATTTGTCTGGCTAAAATTGCATCTTTAGCACACATCATTTTCTGCTTGGTTTCCAGAGAAATGTAGCCTATTGAAAGAGAGAAATGAAACAACTACCGAGGTCTAACAGATCTTACTTATAATTTCAAATGGATTCTAATTTATGATGCATGTATTTGATCGATGTATTCAATATATTTTCGCTGTTATCAAAATAACTAATGGTAAGTGCATGTAGCCAGGCAATCCCACTCGCTTCCAAGCATGTGCTCACTAGGAACGAGCACGTATCTCATGCACTAAATGATGCCAGGTAAAAATGTAAGGATTATGTGCCTTTCTCCTCAGGGAGAGGACTGCATATGGTTTATTCTGCATGTACAGTGGGGGAAAAAAGTATTTAGTCAGCCACCAATTGTGCAAGTTCTCCCACTTAAAAAGATGAGAGAGGCCTGTAATTTTCATCATAGGTACACGTCAACTGTGACAGACAAATTGAGATTTTTTTTCTCCAGAAAATCACATTGTAGGATTTTTTATGAATTTATTTGCAAATTATGGTGGAAAATAAGTATTTGGTCACCTACAAACAAGCAAGATTTCTGGCTCTCACAGACCTGTAACTTCTTCTTTAAGAGGCTCCTCTGTCCTCCACTAGTTACCTGTATTAATGGCACCTGTTTGAACTTGTTATCAGTATAAAAGACACCTGTCCACAACCTCAAACAGTCACACTCCAAACTCCACTATGGCCAAGACCAAAGAGCTGTCAAAGGACACCAGAAACACAATTGACCACTGATAATCTCCCTCGATCTGGGGCTCCACGCAAGATCTCACCCCGTGGGGTCAAAATGATCACAAGAACGGTGAGCAAAAATCCCAGAACCACACGGGGGGACCTAGTGAATGACCTGCAGAGAGCTGGGACCAAAGTAACAAAGCCTACCATCAGTAACACACTACGCCGCCAGGGACTCAAATCCTGCAGTGCCAGACGTGTCCCCCTGCTTAAGCCAGTACATGTCCAGGCCCATCTGAAGTTTGCTAGAGTGCATTTGGATGATCCAGAAGAGGATTGGGAGAATGTCATATGGTCAGATGAAACAAAAATATAACTTTTTAGTAAAAACTCAACTCGTCGTGTTTGGAGGACAAAGAATGCTGAGTTGCATCCAAAGAACACCATACCTACTGTGAAGCATGGGGGTGGAAACATCATGCTTTGGGGCTGTTTTTCTGCAAAGGGACCAGGACGACTGATCCGTGTAAAGGAAAGAATGAATGGGGCCATGTATAGTGATATTTTGAGTGAAAACCTCCTTCCATCAGCAAGGGCATTGAAGATGAAACGTGGCTGGGTCTTTCAGCATGACAATGATCCCAAACACACCGCCCGGGCAACGAAGGAGTGGCCTAGCCAGTCTCCAGATCTCAATCCCATAGAAAATCTTTGGAGGGAGTTGAAAGTCCGTGTTGCCCAGCGACAGCCCCAAAACATCACTGCTCTAGAGATCTGCATGGAGGAATTAACCAAAATACCAGCAACAGTGTGTGAAAACCTTGTGAAGACTTACAGAAAACGTTTGACCTGTGTCATTGCCAACAAAGGGTATATAACAAAGTATTGAGAAACTTTTGTTATTGACCAAATACTTATTTTCCACCATAATTTGCAAATAAATTCATAAAAAATCCTACAATGTGATTTTCTGGATTATTTTTCCTCATTTTGTCTGTCATAGTTGACGTGTACCTATGATGAAAATGACAGGCCTCTCCCATCTTTTTAAGTGGGAGAACTTGCACAATTGGTGGCTGACTAAATACTTTTTTCCCCCACTGTATGAGCCATACATCAAGTCCAAAACGGGAGGTTGAAAAAATAACTAGGTTGTTTTCAATCGTCTGGAATGCCTCTAAGTGTGGTGTGGTGACAAATATTTTTTTTTCACTTGAAATGTCAATTAGGAACCCTATACTTAATACCATGATTCTAAGTTATAATACTTTAACTAGATGGGGGGGTCATGTCAAGCACTGTGAGGTACAGGTAACTGCCAAAATAAAGGAAAAACCAACACACAGTGTCTTAAGAGGGCGTTGGGCCACCACGAGCCGCCAGAACAGCTTCAATGCGCCTTGGCATAGATTCTAGTGTCTGGAACTCTATTGGAGGGATGCGATACCATTCTTCCATGAAAAATTCCATCATTTGGTGTTTTGTAGATGGTGGTGGAAAACACTGTCTGTCGCCGCTCCACAATCTCCCATAAGTGTTCAATTGGGTTGAGATCTGGTGACTGAGACACACACACACACACACACCCTTTAAACCCCCTATGCTCCTTTGAGACCCCTCTTTCAAACTCATTGAGATCTCTTCTTCTAGCCAAGGTAGCAAAAATAATGGGAAACTGGGCATTTGCATACATGACCCTAACTATGCATGATGGATGTTAATTGCTTAATTAACTTAGGAACCACACCTGTGTGGAAGCCCCTGCTTTCGATATACTTTGTATCCTTCATATATTCAAGTGTTTCCTTTATCTGAATCTACCATTTACCCGACTGCGACTAAGGGCATGCACCAATGATCTCTGTCAGCAGAGGGAGCTGTTTTATCATGCATTCACAAAAATATGCCTCACCTTCTTTAAAATGTGTCAGGTAGGTCTATACCAGCGGTCTACAACAGGTCGATCGCCAAACAATTCTGAAAGTACATGCAATGTTCAAGTGTTCCACCGCAAACGGTCATACATAAATCTCACAAGTATCCGCAAGCTCCCAGCTACTATCTAATCAACGCAACATTTACATTATCCCACCCATGGTTAGCAAACACTTTCCCCATAACCTTATCAATTAAATGTTAACTGCAAAGTAGGCTTACCTAGCAGAAGTATATAATGAGTAATAAGTATATCGTTTGTATCTATTATTTGCTAACTTTGCCATGAAATGCGCAGCAGCAGTACAGAACCATTGCTAGACCAGCACATTAGATGGCACATTCCCCACTGGCTAGATGCGCAAAGAAAGGGCCAGATGCACAATTAAAGGGGAATTACACATAAAATTGACTTCTGGTGTGATTTAAGCATTGACATGGAATCAGAACATCCAATTTCGTTGTTTCTCTATGAACAATTGTAATTTTGAGTGAAAAACAAAAAACATCTAAAACCAGGAAATCATAATTTGGGAAAATATAAAACAGAATTTGGGGAAATAATTACATATTTTATAGGGCCCCCCTTAGAGTTGTTTATTAACCATTATTTTACCAGGTATATTGACAGAAAACAGTGCACTACCTTCTCTTGTACAACAAGGACCCGGAGAAGAGTTGCAGGGGAGATGAGAAGAGAAGAATGTGCCTATTTGAAAGCTAGAAAAATAATTAGTAGCTCGCGACATGTTTGATATTTTAAAAGTAGCTGTCATTCAAGAACAGGATGGAGACTCCTGGTATACTGTGCCTACGTCTTCATTTACAGTCAACATGCCTTCTGTCTAGCATACCACCACCAAATCTATTTACAGCAAATAACCAAGAGAAAACATGGGGGGAAATAAGGGCAAAGGACTAATTTAATAAAATGTTATATTTATTGCTAATAAAATCAACGGATCAAACAAAATCAATTCCGAAATCACCAGTACCTCATAATCTCACCATAATCAAATAAAATCATCTGGTTATTATTAGATAATTACATTGGGAAAATCAAGATGATTCCATTAGCATTGCCTACAGTAAGCATTCTTATTGTCATTAGTACAAAACTATGTATAACATAGCCAGATCTAGGTGAGAAAATCAAGTGGTTCCATCAGACCACTATCATTGTAACCAAATTCCTTTTTTCTACACCCATGAAAAACAACATAGCAGAGGATTTGTTCACATTATACTGGGAGCCATATTGATGTGTGAAGACTGCATGGATAGCAAACTTCATTGCAAATGCACACACCCATGAATGTTAATGTCAAGTCATGACACCTAAAAGTACCAGTCACAATATAATAAGTTGAAGGATATTTGAGGACATTCCACATTTAATTATGCCCTTCAGATAAAACATGTCATTGATATTAAACACTATGGAAATGTTAATTAAACAAAGAGCAGGGTGCATAAACTGGCTATGTTGTATGTAAAAAGTCACTCTATTCTTGATTCATAAAGTAATGGAGTTAAACAAAGCCACTGACCAACACTCATTGCAAGGTTTCCCGGACACAGATTAAGCCTAATCCTGGACTAAAAACTGATTTAGGAGAAGGGTGGAGTACCTGTTTATATAAAATGATATAAACAGTAACAAAACCCATAAATCCACTTTCATAGACCACCAAACCGATACAAACACACAGGCATTCACACAAACACACACTGAGTTGCACCCTCTCACATGCACACTTGTAAATGTGTTTTAATCTGGTGCTTCAAACTACAACACATTCTGAGCATAACCGGTTGTGACAGAGAGAGGGCTTATCTTCAGTCTTCACTGACGGCTACAGTACAGCAGCTCCTTCTCAAACCCCGGTCGGGAATAACATCATGCCACGGAGCTGGGCTTCATCTCTGGCTCCAGTATGTGTAGGTTGGAAATCAATGTGATTTATGATATATCCCACTGCCTAACTCTTCCATTCCTTCCCCAAAGACGAACCATTCTTTCAGTACTCTATAGAACATTACAACAATGACATAAAGAAAGATTAGAATCAAGAAAATAAAACACAACATAACCATCAGTCTCTGTAAACATAAATCAAAGCAGATCTACATATGATTGACGTGTATTAACCCAGGGGTCCCCAAATACATTCAGCAGTGGGCCGATTTTTACTTGAGCGGATGGTCGGGGGGGCCGGAACAATTGACCGCAAGAATCCCAAACAGAGATACTATTTGACAAAAACAGAATAATTTCAAACCTTGATTACACTGGGATACGATCACATATGCCTCTCTATTTATTAGTGGGAATACTTGGCAATGGATTTCCTAAATTAAAATCACTTTGAGCTGATTTGACAGTATTTTATGTCCCGTGGGCCGCCTATTGGGGAACCCTGCATTAACCCCTTACCAATACTGGCCCTCCAGCTCTTTTTCCAGCTCCATTTTCCCTTAGGGGATGGATATTGACACCCTCCTGTTGGGGAATAGTTGCATTGTTCTCGTTCCCACAAATAGATTTGAGTGGGATTCGGTCTCTGAAAATATGATTTACTCATTGTTTTTTATATTGTCAGTTTTGGAAGGGAGCCAGCTGAAGTGATATCGTTCACGGGGAGTCAGAAGGTCCACGTCAAGTTTCTTCTGTTCTTTCTCACTGGCAACGGTCCTATACCCCAGCAAAGACATGGCGCCCTTACACACCTCCTGGATGTGCCTTACCTTGCCATGGGGCAAAGTAGTACGCCAAGCCTGAGAGACGTCTGCTGCGTTGCGGGAGGTGATTTGGAAGGCCTCCTTCTTGGTGCCCTTGCCCTTACCGTGGGTGACCTTATAGATCCACTCCTGTAGCGACTGTGTCATCTCCAGCCCCACAAACTGATACATAGAGTCGATCTCTGTCAGGGGGTCTCTCACCATGTCCTCGTAGCGTACCATCTTGTAACGTCCACGTAGAAAGTCTGGGGGTTTGAGCATGGCCCTCTCGTGGATGCGGACGTGGCTTCGGCATATCTCCTGCATGACGCGGTACTGTGTGTCAACCACCTTGGTGTTGCCTTCCTCCAGGACCAGGGCATTGTCCTTCACTAGGGCTTTGGCTGACTGCTCCCTGGAGCGTGCCACGGCCCGCGGGTCTCTCACCAGGTGGATGATGCGCAGGTCCAGAGTGGGGTCCTGCAGGAGAGGGTACAGGGAGTCCAGCTCAAAGAAGCGCACCTCTTTGAGCACCACATGGCTGTAGGTCTGACAGGCCTCTTCTGCCCCCTGCAGGCCAGGCCTGTCACACTTCCGCTTGCACTCCGTCTCGTTGCTGAAGAGGTGGCGAGGTGTGAGCTGGCAGGCAGGTGGAGAGCACAGGGCACGGCTGTGGCTCCACATAAAGAGGGCTGACATGTTGTGCTGGGCCGGAGTGTAGGCATCCATGACAGACATGTCACACTGGAAGACGCTGCGCATCAGGTCCCTCACCGCCATGCGCAGCGCCCGGGCTCCAGGCATCTGCAGAGTGGTCCACACATGCCACGATGGCTCCATCAGGTAGAAGACAGACGGGTGCTGGCTGAACACCTGGCCCAGGAAGGAGGATCCAGACCGCCATGAGGACAGCAGGAGCACGTGGACCTTGCCCTGGGAGGGAGGGCTACCACAAGGGAGGAGCCGGATGTACCATCCAAACAGCAGCACCACGGCCACTCCCTGCAGAAGCAGCAGGAACACCATGGCCGGTGGCGTCAGTCTGAAGCGCGGCATGCTGGAGACTCTCTGTGTGAGCTGCTGGGAATTTATAGGAGAGCGAGAGGGCGAGAGAGCAAGAGAGAGAGAATAAGGGGAGGCATATTAAGAGTTTAATTCCAAAACGCTATACATACATTTTCAGAAATGTTGGTAAATTAGCTTTTATTGTTCCAAAAAATTATTAAAAGAGATGTGTGTTTTTCACTAATCATGGCATGGGGTTGTTTAATGACACACATGTAGTTGTTTAAAATCTATCACTTGATGCATTCATTTAAGAGAGACAAATAATCATGTTTTTTAGCAAAATGCTATATATCTGCCTCACTTTCAGAGAAATAAGTTGTACTGCTAGGTTTTACACAGTCAAATGTAACAAATAACGCATTTTTTTATAAAGGAATGTACAAATGAAACATTTGTTACATCAATATTTAAAAAAACTTTTATTTTAAATAATCCAATACAGTAATATGAGATCTGTATGTAAAACATTCACATTTTAGTCATTTAACATATTCTCTTATCCAGATTGACTAACAGTATGGTCGATCTTCAAGGTATTCCTAGTCGATCACCAAACATTTCTGTAGAAAAGCCAACGATAAAGCCATGCGCTGCTTTTTTTAAATGTGTATTCGTTTTGCGCTGTTGGTTGGAAGTGCACTTGATTCAGAAGTCCTGCACGCCGGGTAGGCAGGGTTCACATTTTGAACCATTTAATATTTAATTTGTCTGGAAGGACAAACTCACGGCGGGACGTGATAGATATATTGCGCTGGCCAATCGGAAAGCTCAAATCACCGTTCCTACATTACCAGTGTACCACAACCCCGCAGCACAATTTGATACTAGCCTACATGAGATTTCATTAAGTTAATTTTTGTAATTTATTTTACCACCAATTTCGTGATATCCAATTGGTAGTTACAGTCTTGTCCCATTGCTGCAACTCCCGTACAGACTCGGGAGAGGCGAAGGTCGAGAGCCATGAGTCCTCTGAAACACGACCCCGCCAAGCCGCACTGCTTCTTGACACACTGCTCGCTTAACTCTGAAGCCAGCCGCACCAACGTGTCGGAGGAAACACCGTACAGCGTGCATGCGCCCGGCCCTCGCTAGAGTCCCAGCTGGCCAAACCCGGACGACGCTGGGCCAATTATGCGCCGCCTCATGGGTCTCCCGGTTGCGGCCGGCTGCGACACAGCCCGGGATCAAACCCGGGTCTGTAGTGAAGCCTCTAGCACTGCCTTAAACATAAAACGTGCTTCTCCCTTCTTCCACTCGTGCTGCAGCTGCAATGAATGAGTAGCCAAATGTATTGATAGGCCTGCGTTTTTATTATTAGCAACGCGTTGTGTCTATTTTAATATAGAGGAATATTTCACTTTCTCTGGTCATGGAAACAACATGAATTTGTGCATGAGGCAGAAATAATGCAATGCAACTCAAGTTTCACCACCAGGCGAAATCACTTAAACAAATCGGGCAGAGTTAAAACCTAGGCAACAGTAACAAATATTACATTGGAAACTGTTGGAATACCCACCCATATGACCATTGGCCGCGTGGTGGTCGTAGATATAATTTCATATCAATATAATATATACATAAATTATGTACAAAATGACCAAGTGAGACCTGGATGGCAAGACAAAATCAACGTGACATATTCATGTAAGAAATTGTCCAATTTCAAACTCTTGGAGACATGGTGGACAAATGGTGAATCCAATACAATTCTCTGCTCAGTAATAGATTACCAGTATCTCCCCCCTACTAGGTGCCTTAACATGTTCCATACCAATGTATCTCAGAGAGCTGATGTTGTGACGAGACTCGATGAAATGCCCAGCCACAGGGTTTCTCTGATCAGTAGTCCTGATATTACTCCTGTGTCCTGCTATGCGTTGTAAGAGCTTGTTTCATTTTTCCTACATAGCATCAACCACAAATACACTTGATAAAGGTACACCACATTTTTTTGTGGAACACGTGATTATACCTGAATCTTAATGGCCTTGCCCGTAATGGGGTGATTGAACGTTGTGCATTTGTTCGTAAAGTTACACTGGCCACATCTGTAATTACCGTCCGGCACATTGTCTAGGAAAGTGCTAAATGGTTGCCGTGGAAGATCAGACCTCACCACCATTTGACTGATGTTGGGGCCGCGTCTGAAGACATCCCGCTTGGTTTCTTTAGACGTCTTTTCCAGTTGTGGGTCAGTGCTCAATATGTGCCAGCGTTTTTTTAATGATGTGGTCGAACTGTTTGCCTAGTGGGGAGTATTGAAGAAAGCATTGGACTCGTTGGTCAGGGAGGCGGGGTGGTTTGGGAGTTAAGATGTCATCCTGGGTCATATTTTTGTAACGGTCCCGTCCATCATGCAGCCAATCCTCTGGTTAACCCCACTGTCTGAAGCGCTCATCCAGACAGTGAGGTTTTTTGTTATAGTCACTGTGTACTACAGATCCTGCGTATGCGACTGTATTGGCTGATAGGGTGGCTCTTTTTCAGGGGTGTAGGGTTGAAGCCATCTCTGCATAACAGGGAATTCCCGTTTGTTGGCTTCCTGTATAGGTCCGAGCTAAAGCCACCCCCTCCTTCCTTATCAAAATGTCCAGAAAACTTGTTTCATGCACATCAAAGGTGAACGTGAATTTCAGATGTTCTCTGCTTCTATTGATGAAGGAGTGAAATTTATGAAGTTCCTGTGCTGTGCCCTGGAATAGAAGGAATCAATGAACACTGGCATAGCACTCACCCCCGCAAGGCGAGGGGCCCACAAGCTTTGGGACCAGGGCCACCCGGAGGTCAGGTCCCCCAGATAGTATATGAACACATCATAAGCCATGATTTAATTAAAACTGCAAAACCTTCTCTCAGGCTCATGACAAAATGTGAAGTATAGCAGGAAATTAGCTCAGGGATTCTGAAAGTCAGGACAATCCTTGTCCGGCAGGGAAACTTTATTTTTATAGTAAAAACAATGGATTATGTTGCATTATTTGAGCTTAAAATGTACATTTAGGGGAATTTTATAAGGGAAAACTATTTTCTAAATACTTTCAGTATTATTAATTTCCATGTAGGCTCTATGCCCAGAAATGCCCTTGTCTGGAGCAAAGGATCCCAATGACAAACTCTCCAAAAAAAAGTGTTTAAAATTCTAAAAACTGGTAAAATGTGATATTAACTGAAAAATGATTTATGTACTTTCTTGCAATAGCCCTCTGTGAATTTAAATAATATTTCTCTCAAAACATTGATTCCTAAAAGATGTGTCCGGAGATTTGGTTTACACCGTCAAATTTGTCTAAAATCCTAAATTAATCAGGTATGAGCAGGGCCAGCTATCCAATAAGGACCCCTTATTCAAGGAGCCCTTATTCATGTCCTCATTACAACAATATTGGAATCACTTATGGTCACTCACAACCATAAACTGTTAACTCCCTCTGCCTGATTTTCAAATGAATCATTTTCCATATTGTACAAATGTTTGTATTTAACTTTTAATTTTAGAGGCAAAAATAAGTCAGTTTTGAGTATCTGTTGTCAACTCCGTCAGTTGCTTTTCAACTCCGTCACTGATTGCTCACCCCCTTAAGATCATTTTTTTTGTCAATATTCAGATAAAATATTGTAATCACTATTCTGCAAAATATGCTTAAACAATTGAAGTATTTGCTGTGCTAGACCTAAGGGATAATGTTTGGACAATTAATAGACGCTGCAGTAAATAAAACCTAATAAAAATGTGTCCGTTTTGTCCAGGCCCAGACTACACAGACCGGTGCGCCATAGCCAATCAGAGTTACAGTAGGCCTATATGCAAATAAACCATTTTCCACATGGGCCTGTATCATTCACTTTGAACTGGACTGTGTTTACAGGCAGTAGCAACAGTGTGACTTTAGACCATTAGAAAGCATTCGCCAAAAGCCACAAAATACACCTGAAGGGATTTCTGCAAATATGTAAATACCACAGGAGTCCTCTTACATTTGGGTACTTTACAGTCCTATTGCTCAAACAAACATTAACAGGTAGGCAATCTCTCCCTCACTAAGATCAACAACTAATGTTATCCAGAGCGAGATGAGCTAAAAATCTAATGAGGCAAGAGTAGATAAACTCTTGCAAACTTTTTCAGCTTGTAGTTGGCCGTCAAAATTGCACTGATAAACGATGGGGAATAGTAGCCTGTTTGCCCTTCTGCAGCTTGCCTGCCAATGCATGCTTGTCCCAATCCACGTTTTGACAACAATGGGAACTCCCTGCCCGCCCATTTGAACGATGCCAAATACATTTGATTGACAACTAAGAGATATGCATGAATTTCAAGCACAGATTCAACTACAAAGACCAGGGAGCTTTTCGAAACCTTCATAAAGAAGGGGAGTGATTGGTAGATGGGTAACAATAACAAATCAGACATTGAATATCTTTTTAAGCATGGTCAAGTTAATAATTATGCAGGATGAGGATGATGTATTAAACCCCCCAGACACATCACTTAATCATGCATGAGAGCACCAGCTGTTCCGGACGACTGTGTGATCACGCTCTCCGTAGCCGATGTGAGCAAGACCTTTAAACAGGTCAACATTCACAAGGTCGCAGGGCCAGACGGATTACCAGGCCATGTACTCAGAGCATGCGCGAACCAACTGGCAAGTGTCTTCACTGACATTTTCAACCTCTCCCTGACAGAGTCTGTAATACCCACGTTTCAAGCAGACCACCATAGTCCCTGTGCCCAAGAATGCGAAGGTAACCTGCCTAAATGACTACCGCCCGGAGCTTTGAAAGGCTGGTCATGGCTCACATCAACTCCATCATCCTGGAAACCCTAGATCCACTCCAATTCACATACCGCTTCAACAGATCCACAGATGACACCTCAGATGGTAATGCGCCGTCGCAACCTTCGCTCTCTCTCTCCCGCTACTCTCTCCTCTTCCATCCTATCATCTCTTCGCTCTGCTCAATCCTTCTCCCTCCAATCTCCTGATTCTGACTCCTCAACCCTCCTCTCCTCCCTTTCTGCATCCTTTGACTCTCTATGTCCCCTATCCTCCCGGCCGGCTCGGTCCTTCCCCTCCTGCTCCGTGGCTTGGCGACTCATTGCGAGCTCACAGAACAGGGCTCCGGGCAGCCGAGCGGAAATGGAGGAAAACTAGACTCCCTGCGGACCTGGCAATTTTTCACTCCCTCCTCTCTACATTTTCTTCCTCTGTTTCTGCTGCTAAAGCCACTTTCTACCACTCTAAATTCTAAGCATCTGCCTCTAACCCTAGGAAGCTCTTTGCCACCTTCTCCTCCCTGCTGAATCCTCCTCCCCCCTCCCTCCTCCCTCTCTGTGGATGACTTCGTCAACCATTTTGAAAAGAAGGTTGACGACATCCGATCCTCGCCGAACAGTGCCGGAGAAGATGGCTGCCGTTTTACAGCCCTCTAACCAATTGTACTATTATGTGTGTTTTTCCGCGTTATTTGTAATTTATTTTGTACATAATGTTTCTGCCATTGTCTCTTATAACCAAAAAGAGCTTCTGGATATCAGGACAGCGATTACTCACCTCGTATTGGACGAAGATTTTTTCTTCAACGAGGCGGCCGCGAAGGATATCATACAGACACCCGACAAGGCCCAAATCCCTGTCATTCGCATGAGGAAGAGACGGAGATATCGTGGACGTAGGTCGGGGTGCCTTGTAAGGATCCGACGGCGAGCGAGTAAACTGCCGCTCCCATCAATCCTATTAGCCAATCTTCAATCATTGGAGAACAAATTGGATGACCTAAGATTACGGTTTTCCTACCAACGGGACATTAAAAACTGTAATATATTATGTTTCAAGCAGACCACCATAGTCCCCGTGCCCAAGGACTCTAAGATAACCTGCCTAAATGACTACCGACCCGTAGCACTGACGTCTGTAGCCATGAAGTGCTTTGAAAGGCTGGTCATGGCTCACATCAACAGCATTATCCCAGAAACCCTAGACCCACTCCAATTTGCATACCGCCCCAACAGATCCACAGATGATGCAATCTCTATTGCACTCCACACTGCCCTTTCCCACCTGGACAAAAGGAACATCTATGTGAGAATGCTGTTCATTGGCTACAGCTCAGCGTTCAACACCACAGTGCCCACAAAGCTCATCACTAAGCTAAGGACGCTGGGACTAAACACCTCCCTCTGCAACTGGATCCTGGACTTCCTGACGGGCCGCCCCCAGGTGGTAAGGGTAGGCAACAACACATATGCCACGCTGATCCTCAACACCGGGGCCCCTCAGGGGTGCGTTCTTAGTCCCCTCCTGTACTCCCTGTTCACCCACGACTGTGTGGCCAAGCACGACTCCAACACCATCATTAAGTTTGCTGACGACACAACAGTGATAGGGCCTGATCACCGACAACGATGAGATAGCCTATAGGGAGGAGGTCAGAGACCTGGCAGTGTGGTGCCAGGACAACAACCTCTCCCTCAATGTGAGCATGATAAAGGAGATGATCGTAGACAACAGGAAAAGGAGGGCCGAACAGGCCTCCATTAACATCAACGGGGCTGTAGTGGAGGGTGTCGAGAGTTTCAAGTTCCTTGGTGTCCACATCACCAACAAACTATCATGGTCCAAACACACCAAGACAGTCGTGAAGAGGGCACGACAACACCTTTTCCCCCTCAGGAGACAAAAAAGATTTGGCATGGGTCCCCAGATCCTCAAAAATGTCTACAGCTGCACCATCGAGAGTATCCTGACCGGTTGCATCCCCGCCTGGTACGGCAACTGCTCAGCATCCGACCATAAGGCGCTACAGAGGGTAGTGCGTACAGCCCAGTACATCACTGGGGCCAAGCTTCCTCCCATCCAGGACCTATATACTTGGCGGTGTCAGAGGAAGGTCCAAAAAAATTGTCACCCAAGTCATAGACTGTTCTCTCTGCTACCGCACGGCAAGCGGTACCGGAGCACCAAGTCTAGGTCCAAAAGGCTCCTTAACAGCTTCTACCCCCAAGATATAAGACTGCTGAACTATTTGTTTTTACACTATTTGTTTTTACACTGCTGCTACTCGCTGTTTATTATCTATGCATAGTCACTTACCCCAACCTACATGTACAAACTACCTCAACTAACCTGTACCCCCGCATATTGACTCGGTACCCGTACCCCCTGTATATAGCCTTGTTATTGTTATGTAATTTTATTGTGTTACTTTTTATTTTTTACTTTAGTTTATTTTAGTAAATATTTTCTTAACTATTTATTGAACTGCATTGTTGGTTAAGGGCTTGTAAGTAAGCATTTCACGGTAAGGTCTACACCTGTTGTATTCGGCA